AAGAGCTCCCCAGGGAAGTGGTCCCAGCACCAGGCTGACAGAGTTCAAGAGGCATGCAGACAATGCTCTCAGGCACATGGTGTGACTCAGGGATGGCCCTGCACAGGGCCAGGAGCTGGATGTTAACGGCTATTGCAAATCTTTTGCAACCGAGTATTTCCTACGATTCAATGAATCTAACTCCCTGGACAAACCACAGAAGCATGAAATTTGAAGTGAAGTTGAAGTTCAGAGATCTGAAATACAGACTTACTAATAATAATAGAGTGCAAACTTTATCTAGGCTGTGATCTATTTCCTTTTGCAAAAAAGAGCTCTCAGGTCTAACCCACAATTGTGTGCTATCTATCAGTCTTCCTATTACGCAAAGACAGCCGCTGCTAGAATAAAGACTATCCCTTCCCATAAACCTAAATTCCACATGCAATGCATAACAAAAAACTATAAACTAAAAAAGCACAAAGGACTAGCTCTATGACTAGTTTCTAGTTTCTAGTTAAGATAAATCTTTGAAGACTAAAAAGTTGGCAGTAGTGGAAGTTATGTAGCAGAGCAGAACACACAGTTCCACTAATTTTACAAATAGTGTTAACACAAATTGAAGTACCTGACAAATCTTTTTAACCTGCTATTTATTGTACTAAGAAGACACATTACCTCTTTCGACTAAGAAAAGAGTGGATGACAATACTAATCCATTCTTACCTACTTTATAAGTTATTTAAGTGTTCAGAACATAGACAGTATGGAAACTAAAAAAAAAAAAAAACAACACCCCCCCATTTAATTAATGAATTATGAATTTTAGTCTCTAACCTATTTAGGAGGGAACTTACTTCTCTTTAAATGCTAAATTTCACTAATATAAATTCTCTGTTAAGTTAGATGCTAGCAGTAATCAGCTATACTGCTTTCTTTAAGGAACAGCCTTATATTTAATCAGGCAATACACAGAAATGCAGTCCCTTGACAAAGAGATAAATAAGTTTTTAGAAACAACAGTATCCCTCAGTGCATCCAAATTCTAGCAATCTTTTGCCAGATGTCAGAGGAAAAAAATCTCAAATCCTATTTCTGTTCTTACTGTTACTGTAATCTTTCTGAGAAGCATGAAAATCACTTGGTCTTCCTCCTGTAAGTGAAGCATTTTAAACTTTCTCCAAGTTAGAATATGGCAGCATTTTCAGAAATAACTGTAAAACTCACTCACAAAGTATGTGTAGTGGTATTAGTAAAAGAAATTGTGTAAATATTTGAAATGGTCTTTCAGAGAAAATATATGGCTATAAATATATAAAGAAGAAAAGCAATTAAAAGCAGAAAATTGTGTATCACCTTCACCTCCAATTCACCCAAGAACTGAGAGCCTGCTGAGGGAAACATCCACTTCTAACAAACAGAGAAATCCTAATCTTCATCTGAATTTAATAAATTCAGATATATCTATTTAGTGAAGGATACACTGACCAGAGAATATATATGTATGATTTGAATGACACAGGTATTGAAAAGAAACACTTCAAATCTTCCCAACAGAAAACCCTTTTTGTAAGTGTTATCAAGACATTTGTATGAGATTTTTTTCTTCATTATTTTATTCTGTCATAAATTAATAATAGCTTCACTAAACTCAGAAGATTAAACAAACCCAAAATTTACGGTACCTTCTTTTAAAACAAGTATTAACGTTTATGTTGAGGCATATCAGTATCAAGCTATATGATTTAACATCTATTGCACTGGAGCTAATAATTAACAAATTATAGAACTTGTTCCATAAATAGAACCTGAAAAATATACAGGCACTAACATACTTAAAAAGAAGTAAATATATAGACTGTGCATATCAATAGGAAACAAATACTTTACTTGATTAAGACCAGCTGGTATCAGGAATTAAAAATATGTCTGTTATTGATACCTGTTTAGCATTTGTGTAAAAAGTTTCTCTTCAAAGAATAAGGAACCAGAGCAAATGATTCACCTCATCTAATCAAAAGAAGTGGTGTTAAAGAGTTGCTTATTCCAGCTGACCTTGAATGTACTTTGGATGTCTCTATGGTATATGCCACTAAGAAGATACAAATATACAGGATTAAAATCTGAACTGATAAAGCTAAGAAATTAAGTATTACTCCTTTAATAAGCCTACTTCATGAAAGTATGTGAATACCAAAATATCTCCTTACTGATTGCTGTTGAACTGTGAATAAATTTAAAAATAAGCTATCAAAAGTGAAAGTATCTAATATTTTAATTTTCTTCTTCTTACCTGTTTAAAAATTATGAATAAAGAATTCAAAGAATGTCTATTTTTTTTCACTCCTGTCTACTCTACCTGACATTACTTGTATGCTACCACACTCACCAAATTTTAATATATACTTAAGTCTATACAGGTAATATTATTTTGTATCTTAAGATGAAGATGGAGGCATATTTTTTTCTACTTTGTTTTTTACAGTGCAACAGTAAAAATGCTCTTCTTTTTTTTTTTTTTTCTGTACTATTTAAGTACTTGAAACCCTACACATTTATAAGAACACTGTTTTACAAGGGCAAGGTTGATTATTGCAAAGATGAGATTGTTTCACTGTAGTGCAAAACAAGAGCTACAAAAAGCCCCACAAAAACCCCAAACATTTTAAGTCACAAAATCCAATTAAGCTAAAGAAAAGGGTCTGTCAATTAAGATGTCAGGGTAGAGACCATTTCTTCCTGCTGTGAATAAAGCAATGAACAAGGTTGGATGGTGGTTAACTATGGAAAGAAAAGAGACTTTTTCTTAAATTTTAAAAACCAAAAGATACAGGGCTCAAAATTTAAGAACCACTTTTACTCCTTGGTTTCAAAATATTTTATTAGACTTCCACTTGAATTTTGAAAGTACTTATACAACACAGGTTTGGAATTGTAGAAACAATGATAAAAAGTGAAGGTGAAATTATGCTTTAGGATGCATACATTATAAAATTGTATCTGCATGACTAAAAAAAAACAAGGACCACAAGAACACTAACATGTTTTGACATGTTACCACAACTGTTGTCTCCTTTTTTGATACAGTTATAGATGCACGCTGTTACAATCAAAATGCAATTTTGTGCTACCTTTTGTAGTAAATATTATGAAGAAATTAAGAGATATCAATTAATCTTCTAAGTTGAGGGACAGTACACAGCAGCAAGCCTACAACTTAAATTTGGTTTAAAACTCCTCAATGGGAAGGATTGAGACTTACAAAGCAATAAACCAAATCAGTGTACCTGTCAGTAGTAAACTTTAGCCCTAAGGTTTATTTTGTCAATGTTCTTTGCCTCCATCTTGTCACCTATATTGTTATATTGCATTGTATCTTGAAAGATTTCAGCAATAACCAAGCATTTTACACTAAATGAAGTTGTTCCAGTAGCAAGCAACTGTTAAAGAACTGCAGAATTATGATCCATTTTAGGATCATGACAGTCTCAAAAAAAGTTGCATATAGCCTTCAATTAATAAAAACTAAAAGCTGTGAAATGTAATTCAGTATCCAATAATCCATGTAAGAAATTTGTTTGAAAGTTCCTCCTGTATTTTGATCGCCTACAATTGACCCTTCTCTTCACAGCCTCTGAACAAATGAAAAGGTGTGTTTTAGACAAAGTAAAACGTGAAAAAACATGTATTAATGTACAAAATGCAGACAGAAATGAAGATTTCAAATAGGATTTGTCTTCTAGTCCTTCCCTTCTTTATATTCCTAATAGCCATTTAAAAATCTCGAATCAAGTATTTCTTAAAGAAATCAAACACAAGACTAACATCTTACATATACACTGCAGTTATATCACAAAGAAAATAGTAATAATATTAACAAGCAACCTGACTGAAAACACTAGCTAGTTTAGTCTTTCATTTAAATGAAACACCAAGACTAGGGGAATTGTAAGGGAAGAAAAAAAAAACAAAAACCAACAGGTAAATTGGAAATGTCACTGTCTTCTACCCTCAGTGAAGTAAGGCATTTTCAGTAAATAATATCACTAGTGAAAACCCTCCTTAATAAATTTTACAACTTCATTCAGCATTCTCCACTTGAAATCTCTACTTTGCTGCAACTCATTCTCCTTGACATGTACTTTCATTGTAATATTTTCAATATTTATGTAATTTCTACTACTTTTGCAGCTGGAATAATTTTGGTTCTCCTCCTGCTTGACACTCCTCTCAGAATTATAAGTGCTTCTATTTCTCAAAATACTGGTGAAGCAGTCCTTTTTCTCAGTAGTCAATTCACAGAAGAACACTGGGAGATGGAAAGACAGTAGCAGGGCTGAAGAGCAGACACAAGCAGCAAAGCTTGCTTTAAACAGAAAATAAATAAAAGCTGCCGAGCTCAGGTCACCACCTATTACTGGCTTGCCATCACAAAGTTTTCTCTCTTCCCATGTTAGATATCCACCTGGTTTCAAACCTCTAATACTCTCTCTGTTTCTCTGTTTATCATCAGAGATTCTGTTAACATCATCTTTTCCCTCATTACTCATTATGTCTACAGAAAAGTCTAAATTCTGATGAAAAAAGGACATCTCTCTATCGTCACTTTGCATATTCCAAACTGACAAATGTAGTCTCCATCCTAAGACTCTATTCAGAAAACAGACAATCCAGGTTTTAAAATATTATTGTGACCTCTATCAAAAATCAAAGTATTCCTGTACTTTTTAATTTATTTTTTCTATAAATTGCGAACACCTTGTGATAGCTAGATCTGTCACTTAAGTCCCCTATAAATTTCAGACCCTTCACATGTATTAATCTACACCACCCAGTTTCAAGAGCAGAAAAGAGATGTTATACCTTGAAGAATCTTGAAAGTGTTTCTGAGTACCTTAAAATTTCAATGGGCTATGTATTGTGTGTGCATTTACATTTTATTTGCACAAGAACTATGACATTTGGCTTATTCACCAAAAAATAAATTTCAGGTGCCTAATTAAGAGCAATAATCATCCTACCTTTACAGATTCACTTAAGACTTGGGACTCTTCACTGGATTGCAATTCTAGTTTATTATTTAACTCCTGTAGCTGTTGTGCTTGTTCATTCAAAAGCAATTGTGTCTGATGCTCCCGATGAAATGCATTATTTAATTCCTCGCATATACTTTCAAACCTCTCATGGGTGATTAATTTCTGATAAAAGAAATAAATTGTGTTTGATTATGTAACTGTACTTACCTGTTTATATACTTGACTTCCCAAGTTCCACTTGAGAACATATTAAATTCTAAAACAAAAGCATGCTAAAGTTTATTATTTAGTTAGTTTTTTAAACTCAAAGACAGACCACCAAGCAATAAAATGGCCAGACAACTTTATTCACTGTATTTTTTCAAAACAGCATTCAGGCTACTGTAAACAGTAAGCATTTGCTATTCTATTCAAATTAACACCCTAGATTGCTAAGAACCAATATTTAGAAGGAAATATGCAGATCAATGTCCCACATTTTAGTGCATATCGTATTAATCCTTGTAAACTTGTCTTCCTCAACTCTTTCTCCCTTTGCAAAAGTGTTCCAGAAGGACAAAATAATTCTTCAAGGAAAATCATTGTCAACACTTGAATGGTAATGTAAACTGTGATAATTTCTTACAATTTTCCCGTAACTGTAAGCAATAAAACCCAGTATGAGCAAAACTGAAGATAAGCAGATATAATTTTGTCTGTTTGGGTAAAAAAACCCAATATTTTACCAGCTAGGAATAGGAAAAAGAATGGACTTGACACTATCTGTTACATACTCTCTGCTTGGAAGTGTCTTGATTGGGATACACTGACAAGTCTACCAATTACGCTTCAGTATCAGGTCACAGCTACAGAAAGCACAGCTTTTTGTGGGCCACAGCTGTTTTACTTGTACAGTGCACCTGTTGAGCATGTATAACAATTCTTAACCATTCACTATCTCAAATAGTTCAAACATATGTTCAATTCTGAATGCAACCTACAAGAAATAAGCATAGTAGGAAAGGTGCTTAGTGAACCTCCAGCATGCTAAAGCAAGACAAGTTTCTTCCCCTCCAAGGGCTGAAGGCACAATTTTGTACATATGACAGGGGTCTAACTGAGAACCCACCAAATGGCATCACCCCTCAATCACCATGTCCATTAGTCACAATACTGTGGTTTCAAGTGCTTAAGGATTGTTGTGTCTTCTTGTTGCTGTCAGACAATGCTATTTACAGGCTAGTGAATGCATAGTGTTTAAGTAAATCCATCAATGGCAGCTAGGAGTCAGAGGAATTTGGTGCATATATGCTAGCAGGAATGCAGAAGAGGGCCTTTTTTACCCCTTCCATAAACTTAGTCCTTCAGAGGAACAGCCACACTAAAATTTGCATTGACTAGCTCAGGGCATAACCCAGCATCAAAGATACAGTAAAATGTCTGTCATAATATTCAGCAATATCCACACAAGTTCTCATGGAACATACGTTTTCAATACCCTCATGGCAGCTGACTTTAATCTGCTGTTAGTGAGATCTATAAATGCTCTTTGGGTATATAAATCACATCCACATTTTCAACATACAGAAGAAAACCTGGTTGCTGAAGACCAAACATATAATTTACAAAAGCACCTCATTCTACAAATCAAAAAGAAACTCTCAGGGAAGGGAAGCTTTTCTAAACACATCTGACTTCTAGTTTAGTGACACTTACAATGCAAATCTTGTGGAAAATTCTTTGAATATTAGAATGATTTTATACTTATTTTTCAAAAGAACACACAAAAACATGTCTTATAAGCAGTCACCTCTAAATCAAATATACTTACTTGCTTAAGCATATTTAATTGCTCTTGAAGCCTCTGTGCTTTGTCTGCTTCTTTTTTTATCTCACTGAAATTTGATTTGAATTCCGCAACTTGTAGGCGCAGTGAGCGGCGTTCCACTTCTGCTGTGTGAAGTCTTTGTGTAAATTCAAGTACTTGCTTGTGCAATGATTCTATGTTTTTCTGTTAATAATCAGAAAAAAATTATGTAATTTAACATGAACTATTTTATCAATAAAAGAGCCACATGTAATACCCAAGCAAATTAGACAAAGCTGTCATTTTGTCCACCATCTCTAAGACGCACGAGCGCAAAAAAGTGAACTTGTTTCACCTTCATATTCTTGAGAGTAACTGAAAATTCTGTTTGCAAGGAAGTACTATTTTAATGTAAGGCCCACAATGAAAGACTAATTATTTCAGAAGGTTTCTCCTTTCCCTCTGATTACAGGGAAGAAGGCTATCTTTACTGAAAGATAGAACACTGAGTACGAGAAAACAGAAAAACAAAACAAAACAAAACAAAAAAAACAACACCAAAAAAAAACCAACCAAAAAATAACCCAACAAACTCTGTAACATTTAGTTGAAGCCAGTTAGTTCTTACAAAGCAAATACAACTTTGAAAGAACCTTAAAAACCCTTTTTCTTGGATACATCATCAAATCTCTTCTTAAAATTCTTTGACATAAAAGAACAAATATATTCACTCTCTAATGCTTCTGGGTGTTGGGAATCTGATGTCTACATACTTGACTTCAATATAACAGTCTCATAAACTGAAACAAAATTAATGGTGCTATCAGAAGAGCTTCATCCTAACACTTAGGCCATGAACCTACTGCTTACATGAAGTAGGACTATAATTATGCATACCATACTGGATACTCTGTCACACATTTCAGCTTCCAGGGCCTGTGTATTTATTTTATTAAGTCCATGAGCCAGGCTCTGTACCAAGGAGTCTTTCTCCAGATAAGTAATGTACTTGCTGTGGTCTAATGGAACCGTCTCCATTATAACATTCAGCTTGTCCATAAGTTTTGAAAATGAATTCCTGGCTGCACTTAACAGTAACTTTCCAGAAAGCCAAGGCTTTGTACCTTTAAAAAAAAATAAAAAATCAAAGACAAACAAAACCCCCAAACACTGAAACAAAGAAAACCCTACAACAACAAAACCCAAACCAAACCAAAACACAGAAAAGAAACGTCAAGTCGGTTATTAGTTTCAGTTTCTTTCAGTGACAAAAACCACAACAAACAACATCTCTAAGATACTCAATAGAAATTTTCCATTAAGGACTGGAAGATTGAGTTCAAAGGAATATCTCAGAGACTTTAAGACAAATTATGTATTTAGCAATGAAAATTCTACTCCTATCAATTTACAAATGGGAGGGTAGAATAAGATTCTAAAGAATAAGATTTGTTTGTCACAGACTACTTGTCCACTTGTTATCATGTTCCCAATACTGTACTTTCTAAAGACTTTATTTAGTATTCTAATTTTCTAATTCAGAAAACATGCAAGATGGATGCAAGCAAATGGAAGTCAGGTCAAGTATGTCAGAAGTGATAGCACATGGTAAAACACTTTATTGTAATATTTACAATGCAAATTTCGGAGGGTTCCCTGATTTTTCCTCTCTCCCCTCTATAGATGTCTAAATCATTTGCTGTTCAAAATTAGTGAGGCTTGGTACCTTAATGCCATACTATTTATATTCTGAGACAAGAGAATATAATTTACCTTATTCCAAGGCAATTAAAATTTTACAGCTACAATTACGTATTTCCCCACAGGATTTTGGTAATCATCCTTCTCATATAATGGACTTAAGGCCCCAGCACACCCAACATGTCCTGCTTACTGCTAGATTCGTCAGGTCTGTAATTAATAATTGCGTTTAATGTTGATAAATAAAATTGTCAGTGCTCCTTCCACTAATTGGTATTCCAGATAACAGTTAATAGGTTTATTTATGCCTTAATAAAAGTCTTGTAATTTAGTTTTCCCTCTGCTAGGCAGGTCTTAATCTGTCATTACTTGTCTTATGATACTATCAGTGTAAGATGACAAGCAAGGAAGAGCCTATTTACATTCAGTAGTACAGCAGATCTCCTGTTGCTGCAGTGAAATAAAATATTTACTTAAGAGTATAAACAGAAAAAAATAACCCTGGCTTAAAGAATTTCTGTTTATAGACTGTGAAGGAAAAAGCCAGAAGTACAAAGCAAACAGAACATGATTATTGATATATTTTTATTACAATTCTAATTGTAAAGAAGATCATTTACATGTGAGCTTGAGATTTATAAAAAAAAGCACATGATAAAATAAAATAAAATATAAAATAAAATAAAATATTTTATTTTCAAAGTAATTTTCCTGCTGAGTTTTAAAATAGCGCCACTCCAATGAATCTAGAGCTTAACTGGAGTATAATTTTTGAGTACATGCTCTCCATAACCTCAGTGACAAGTAGATCTGTCTTTTCTTCATGACTAAGACAGCACGTTGGAGTTAAAGATCTTATGAGGCATTTTTACTTTGCACTTCAATTAACTAAACATCCTTTGCAATTAAAAAAAATATTCTTTTCATAGCCAGAAAAAACTGCTATTGCAATTCTCTAGTCAGAATGCATTCACTAGTTGAATGTTAAGTTAACCTAAAATTTAAACTAGAACATTTTTATGGCCTTCCATGTAAGATGATGCCAAAACCTTCTCAAAAACTGTCCTTTGCCATGGTTTTTGGTATATATAGAATAAAGGAGCTCAATGAGCTACTGTTCCTTCACTTTTCCCAGTATTTCCACTTGCTGTCTCAGGTTATGAGGTTGTTTGCCTGTCACAAGCACATATTGTTTCTCCATATGTGCAGTACATAGCACGGCAGCCCCCTTCCCTATGCCTAGAATCTCATGTTTAACTGCTTCAAAAGTAAATTTAAAATAATAATTCAGACAAATGTGTTGTAGCACTTTCAAATGATCATTCCATTTCCCAACAAGCACTCCCCTTAACCAGTAACTTTCCAGAACAACATATCACAGTTCAACATATCACAGAATCACAAGGTTGGAAGAGACCTTCATGATCATTGAGTCCAACCCATTCTCTAACACCTCAACTAAACCATGGCACGAGTGCCACATTCAGTCTTTCTTTAAACACATCCAGGGATGGTGACTCCACCACTTCCCCAGGTAGGCCATTCCAATATTTTATCACACTTTCTGTGAAAAACTTCTTCCTAATATCCAACCTATACTTCCCCTGATGCAGCTTGAACACAGCATAAGGCATTTTCCTGGGATAACAATAAATAGTCATGCCCTCCATTATTTTTATGAAAAGTAGCTTTGACTAAATAGGCAAAAATATTTTGAAGTTATTAATTGCTTTGAAAGATGAAATGAAAAAAAAAACATAAATCAATTCCACAAGGAACTGTATCTATAATAACTGAAATGAGAACAGACTGTTTAAGTACATACATCTTAAGTATCTGCCACAAAGGATGAAAGAATTACAATAAAAATTAAATTATGTATTAAATTATGTACTTTGTTATGTGTCTAAGAAATTATTAACACAAATACATGTATATAACAAAGCAGTTAAGCTTTACATTAAGCAAATGAAAAGTGTCAAATATTACTTTGCTGAAAGACGAAAAAACAATTATTGTTATTCTGTTTTGGTGAAATTGAACACCAGTCAGCAGATTAACTTTGTACTATGCAAGACTAAAATGTTCATGTCAAACTTTTAAAGCTTTATATATTTAACAGTTGGTGATATTTGTATTGTAAAATTTGGCTGTTACCATCTCTGGTTTATGACAGTATAGATTTTGTTCAAACAAACCTAAAATCTAACTTGACAAAAAACCCAAAGCAAACAAAAAATCTCCAACACTGCAATGAACTTGCATTGAAACTGAAGCAAAGAGATCATTCCAAGACATGCTGGAGTGAGACGCAAACTAACTAACACTATGAAGTGTGTTAGTTATGAACTGACACTATGAACCAACGTCAAAACAAAACCACTTATTTAAAACATCGAGAAAGGTGCCTCAAATGGCTCCCCACAACCTAACCATTTTTAAACATAATCTCTAAGACACTGAATCATTCCATCTTGATGATCCAGACAGCACCTTCTTGCAGCACTCTCTCCTGTGACATATAGCCTAATCTGCCATTATTTAAAGACATGAAAGGATTGCCTATTTATAATTTTTTAAGAAATTCAACATAATTGAAGTCAGTTTGAAGATTTAAGTTCTACTTAAAACATTACTTACAGAACATAATGTAATTTTTTAAGTGTGGAAGCTTTCAAATATACTCCTACAGAGCCTAGTTACTTCAACACTTCCGGAAATTTCATATCAAACTTTGAATTATTTATTACTATTTTTTGAATGAAAGATTTCTAGGAGACTTGATCTCATGAGCAACAGAATTTCAAGTAATACATGAGTAGTTAGATGTTGAGGTTCTGTGGAAATTACTTAAATAGATAAAAGATATAACAGAATCACCAAACTGACTGAGGCCATAACATTCCCAGCATGGATCTTTCTAATTCTCAAAATCAAGCCTGTGTTGAGTGCAGAGATATCTAGTAAATAGGGACCAGCAGAATTCTCATATTGTTCAAACTGCCAGAATGTCATGATGTTTAGGGTATTCTAACCAGTCGCTTCAGCAGATCCATGCTACTGCTGCATTTCTCTCAATTCTTCTTCAATTTGCTGTTCCTACACAATATTTGCAGTATAAACCCTGTAAATACTCTGAAATACAGTTCAAACTTTGCTTTTTAAGGATGTAAATTTAAGTTACTGAAAATAGGATAACCAAAGAAGAGAGCTTCTGAAACTGAATCAAAATACTTGTTTCAACGTCTTCTGGGATCCGTTTGTTATTTAAGCTTCTGGGAAATGAATCATCCATGTCCTGCTACTTCATTTATTCATATAAATTATCCCTCCTTAAACAGCCTTTATTCTGTGACAGAAGTGTTGGTATTTTAATACTACAAGTTACTGAAGAACTAAGGATGGCAGCAATGCAGAGAACCAAGCAAACTCTTACATCAGTTCTCGCTGCAAATAAATTTAAGAAAAATAGTTAACAGCTGGGAATCACGAGATACTATTTCCAGAGACTGACACTACAATTATTCATAGGCATAGTAGAATTCTATACAAGCAGAGACTGAGAAAATTAGGAAATCTAGACACAAACCTAATTAAACATAAACTTAGAGAGGGAACACTGCAGAGACATAAAACAAGGCCTGCTATGTATTGTATAGAGCATTTTATTTCTCTCTCCAAAACTGTAAGATAGCAAGTAAAACACATGAAAATATTATCCATGAAATTCACTGTTTTCCAGATTTGGAACTACTAAATTTATATCACATAAAACACAGTAGGAGATTATTTCCTTTCAGTCAGCAGCTGTAATGTCCCAAGTCAAAGACGTGCCAGTTTTAGAGCCTGCACTTAAGAAGTACACAAATCAAATAAAAACAAAATTACATAGATTTTCTCCATGGAAAAATATTAGGTTGAGCTCCAGGAAAACACTTCTTGAATATAAGACCAGATGAAGAAGATAACTAGGAACCTTGTAAGAGTTACTTCAAGGCTCTTACAAGAACCTCGTAAGAGTTGCTTCATTTAAAAGCTTAGCCTACTTTTTAGGCTAAGCTTTTAAAAACCGGTTAGCCAAATATCTATTTGAGTGGTGTAGATTATTTTTAATATCTCACAATCAAACAGGCAGAATGGTATGTATGCTTTCTAAAAGCACTCTTCAGCCTTCTGTTCCCATGATTCTATACCAAAAGGATAAAGTATCACATCACCAATCAAAGAAAATTCAATCTGTTCCATCAATACAGCTCTCAGGAGATTTGATCCAGAATAGTTTACATAAATCCTAAAAATGGAGATGATGTGACCACCCTGATTATTTTTTTACCCTTCAACTACAAGAATATACTTTTAAAATTACCTGGTTTATTAACAACATCCTGCAATTCAGTGACAGAACTGATTATTGCAGCAAGGAGGTTGGAACTAGCAAACCAGCTGAGTGCTTCCACACAGTCAAGCTCTTCCTCTTCACAACCTATGGAATAGAATTGTAGCCACCAATATAACTTAGAAACTTAAATGAGGTACACTACTTTCTCTTTCAGAAATTGACTAAACCTGAAAATACATAAGCCACAAACTATATTCAGGACAATTTAGACTGTATTAAATATGCTTCCACTAGCACTAAACCAAAAAAATAGATGAATTTTCTGGTTTGGAAAGCATTTTTTATACCATTTTTCCTTGTAGGGGGATGCATAAGCTGGTTTAGTAACAGAAAGGTAACAGAAAGGGACTAGACGGACTATGTATTTCCTCTAAAGGAAACCCAGAAATCTTACATTAATATTTTACTTGTATCAGTAAGAAACTTTTTTGCATTTTTCAGTAGGAAATAAGTACTATAAGTTATTAATAAAAGAAGAGAAGAAGAGAATACATGTTCTCAAAAAATAATGTTGGTGGCAAATAATGTAGGAAAATTTCAAGAAATTTATCACATACAGCAGATGCTGTAGCATGTAGTTCTGAAATCTACAATGCAAATATTGAGAATATCAAACAATGGGAGCTCATGTGTGTAGTTGCAACTTAACTTGCATTGCTAAACAGACTAAGCATTTCCTTTTAGGGGAAATTACATTTATCAAGTTATCTAAAATTTACAAAATCAAAAATTACATTTGTTAAAATGTCATTAAATTTGTATTTACACTCCATTATAAATGATATTACTATATGTTATTCACTAGCCATGTCTTTTGACACAACATTTATCAAAGAAGAAAAAAATCAGCTTACTTAACAGATTACGCTTGCCTTTGGATTCTCCTACACAAACGGGAATTCCAATGCCTTCTTTTAAACCATTTGTCCAGGTGAAGAGGGAACTAGAAGACTGTGCTAAAACCTGAAGTCTGTTGGCTGCCAAAACTGCAATCACAGCTCTTCGGAATACATAAATCAGGCCCTGGGACTTTCTTTTCTTTAGTTTTGCTTCATCTTGATTGTTTTCCTTATCATCAGAGAGAGCATGAACTAGGGTCTTAATCTTCTGGTTCACTAATTCATAAATGTTCACCTGATCCCGGAGAAGGTCTCTTTGGGAAGACATAGCACACAATCGGCCATACAGAGGATACAGGGCACCTGCCAATAGTGCACAGGCTGTCAGGAGGGAGGAATGCTCCTTCTGAAACTGTGTTAACATCTTTTTCAAAGAAATGTTTTCAAGAGCCAATTTCTCTTGACTTTTTTCAAGGTCATAAATTTTTTCCTTATTTTTCTCTGCTGCTTCCTGGTATTCCTGGGATAAGAGGAAAAAAAAAAAACAATAACCAAACAAAACCAGAAGAAATATTAACAAAAAGTTTTTAACTTAACAAAATAATTTTTACGTAGGCAAAAGATAAAAGAAAATACTTTCTTTTTTTCTTCATATTCAAGTAATACACTAAAGCAACAAATATTATTAGTAATGATGATAAAACTATCTCTCCTAATAAACAATTAAACAATGAGATACAAACGAAGTAACAAAGTAAAGTTTGCACAATCCTCAGTTACAAATGGATTTCTGGTTCCTGATGATAACCCTTAGTACTCCAATAGCCTCCACCTGGTTGTCCACAATGCAGTTTTATCAGTTGACTTAACAATAATTGCTTAGTAACCAATTACATGCTCCAATTTCAGAAGAACCATTGCTCTACAAAGAAGAAATAAAGTTAGAATAAGGGAGAGGAATAAAATAAGAAAGGCTCTGGAACAAAAACGTAGACAGATTGGCAGCAGCTGGAAAAGGGGAAGTAAAGGTGATCTCTTAATTACTTTGTAATCAGCCCCCTACTTATATATTCACAGATTAATTAGGTCTCATACAGAACGGAGTTTTCAAAAGAACAGTGTAATACAGATATTTTTATTTTGCCTAGTGGCATAATAGTTTTTTTTTAAGTTGCAGAACATTTTTTTTTCTTCTAAATGCCCTGAAATAGGGAAGGAGGGAGATTTAAAATAGCAAGCTGGTATAGAGAAATGAAGATGGTAACAAGTCAGGAAATGTCAGGACTACAATTAGAGGATGCAGACTGCAGTACTGGAATCAAAACACTACGCTGAGAACTCTAAGTGACCTCAGAGACTTAAACTGGGTTCTTGATGCACAAGAGCCTCCTTTGATTGAAACAGTGACTACATTTAAACAGGTTCCACTGGTATAGGGAGATAATAAATTTTAGGCACTGTTAACAAAGAATGTACAAGCTCAAGTTAAATGCTAATGCTTCAGCTACAATACATGGTCACAAAAAGGCAAACATGGATGCAAGTACCAGTCCATATGATGATGAAAACTGAGGATTTTGCTAAATTTCAAATATTTAGAGCTACAGGCAATTTTATTGAACACACAGTGACATTCTAAAAAGAAGCAAAATAGTATTATCCAGCCATATTCTCCTGCATTCTATTTGGTACAGGTCCCAAACTAGTGGTAAGTAAGGCACCCTAGTTTCTTTTACCTCCTCCATTCTTCAAGCACAATAAGGGAAAAAAAATACACAGCTATCCCTAGAATGAAAATAGAAGATTCCATGCTTCTACAGAGATGTACCCTAGTCAGTTCAAAATGTCTTTGACCAAATAAATATTTTATTTTTTTTTTTGAAGGGAAAGCATTTGTAATGCTATTAAAATACTTCAAGTGATACAAAAATAGAGTAGGCCACTAAAAGATTTAATTTCAAAATGCAATTTACAGGCCACATATGTCACTTTACTATGCTGAAATAAAGTATGAACATGGACAATACTTTCCGTGCTGCTACATTATTTACAGTGTTTGATTTTTACAGATAGCATAACTAGAAGGAATTGAAAAGGTGAGCCAAATTTAGAAAACAACCTATGGTTTCTGGCCATCACAGGTGAAAGGCCAATATCTAAGTAAACAAACTGTAATCCCTACAGGGCTGTTGGCAGCAATACCAACATTCAGTGCTCTTGCTAATTAAAGTGCTTTTTTAATGTTTTTCGTGATATGCGAAAGTAAATAAGACAACCTCTGACTTCAGAAATGTAAGTTTTGCAAGAAAATAGACATTTTTTTCTTTTTACTGGTTAGTAATTTCTATTGCTATACCAGACACTGTTTCTAGAGTTTTCTTTAAAGCTTAAAAGCACAGTTCTTGAAAGAGACATGGACTTTTCTTCCTAAACATTGGCAAGCTGGTTTCCTTTGGTGTTTGAGCTTTGAGGGGCTCCTCACTGAGTTGCAGAGCTGCATCAATTCCAAGAAACCTTAACAAAAAATCAGGTGCTACTCAAAAAAACTATTTTATCCTACTTCTTACTACAACCTTAGCCTTTATTCTGGCATGGAAACGGAACAGAAAACTAGAAATACAATGACACAGAGACTTCAAAATATTTTTCTTTGGGAGAGCTGAGCACAGATGGCAAGAGAAGAGAGAGGGCCCACCCCCACAAGCACTAAAGCTGCCCCCAGGGAGGGCAGGCAAGCAGGAACACATGAACAGAGAGGGCAAACAAGGAATGAAACATGAGCCAGGGCACCATGACTCTGTTTGCACTCACAGGGAAAGCAGGAAGGGCACTGAGACACTGCCAACTCAAGCACTTAGATGGTGATTTTCACTCTCAGTGATTGAGCTGAGGTGTGGTGTTTGTTTGGACAAAAGTTACTTTCTCTGTGCACACCAGAAAGGATGGGGTAACCCAGATGGACTGCCCATGAAACCATGCAAGAGTCTGGGTCTCAGGTTGCAGGGAATTATGGAGCCCGGCACTGCTCTCGGGGCAGCACAGAAAACAGCTGTGTGAGTTGTGATCAGGTGGATGACTTACAAAACCTAATGCTGGAGGTGAGAGACAAAGTGGAAAGACTAAGAAGAATTAGGGAGTCTGAGGAAGAGACTGAAAGGTGCAACTACATTATACCACACCTCAGACAAATGCACCCACTCTCCACTTCACAAGAAGCAATGGATCCCCCACCCTCTCACCACCAGGCAGCATGGGACCTTAGAGACAGAGGTGAATGAAAACAGATTTCTCCTTGGCGGGGGGGGGAGGCAGGGGAATCTCCTCCCAAGCTACTTCACCTTCCCAGGTGCCCTTATACAACAGGTATGGGGCCCTGAAATCTCAGAATCAGGGAAATGAGAATGTGGATGGAAGTCCATCTAGGCCAGACTGATTGTTTAAAACAGGGCAGCCTACCCACTACATCTTGACCTCCTCAATTAAGAAAAAAAAGAAGGCAGTAGTGACTCCCTTTTTAGAGAAATGGAGAGCCAATATGCCAAGCAGAATTAACTGATACAGAAGTGTGTTGCCTTCATGCAGCCCAGATAAGATACATCACCAAGAAACTGCCCAGTGGTACAGTCAACTGACTACCCCATTACCTGTTTACCAGGCAGCAACAAAGTCCCAATAAAAAGGCTGTGAATGATCAAGAGGGACCTCAAGGCCTTGGGATAACTGGTCGAGAGATCTGGAGCACAAGCTGTGTTCTCTTCTGTCCTTCCAGTTGCAGGGAATGATGGGGCAAAACCCAGAAAAATCCCAGAGGAACACATGGCTTCAAGGGTGGTGTTACCATCAGAATTTGTGGAGTTTTGATCAGTTGGGTCACTTTATATGACACTGAGTCTGCTGACAACAAATGACATCCTCCTATCTCAAAGAAGGAAAAGGATCTTAGCAGGGTTCACTGAAAGAGCTTTAAACTGGATTTAATGGGGGACAGGGACAAGGCCAAGCTCAACAGAGAAAAGGTGTGGAAAGGGGAGAACAACAGTGATCACCCAAGCACAAAAGGATGCTTAAGAGGGGATGTCTACTGAGGGTACAAGCATCCAAAGATGTAACCAGAAGACAGACTGTGCACTCCCAACCGGGATATGTTGACACAATCAAATACCTCCGTGGAGTTCCTGTACACCAATGCACACAAAATGGAGAAGAAACAGGAGGAACTAGAGATCTGTGTGCTGTCAAAGGACTCTGATCTTCGCATTTAGAGATATGGTGGGAGAGCTCACATGACTGGAATGCTGTAATAAAGGAAATACTATTAAGGAGAGGCAGACCAAGAAGGCAAGGTAGTGGAGTTACCCTCTCTTGAGGCACACCTGGAAGGTATAGATCTCTACCTTGGGGTGGATGGTGAGGGAGTCAAGAGCTTATGGATCAGTATAAAAAGGCAGATCAGTAAGGGCAACACTTGTGGGTGTTTGCTACAGGCCACCTGAGCAGCAGGAGAAGGTGGATAACATCTTCTACACGCAGCAGAAAGCTTAGAGTTACAGACACTAGTTCTTGTGGGGGCCTTCAACTACCCTGGCATCTGCTGCAGAACCAGGACTTCAGGAGAGCTAACTTTAGTCTCTTTGGGGATCTTCTTGGAAGAATCCCACAGAAGAGCCACTTAAGGGAAGAGAGGTGCATGACAGTTGGTTGATGTTCAGGGATAAGTTCCTCTAGGCTCAAGAACAACACATCCTGATGCACAAGAAGTCAGGCAAAGAGGGTAACAGACTTCCATGATCAAATGAAGAACTGTCATTACCCAGGCAGGAAATACACAGGAGATGGAAAAAGGGTCAGGCCACTTAGAATGAAGATAGAGAGGTTGTCAGAGAAAGCAGAAATGAGACAAGGAAGGTCAGGGTGCATCTGGAATTAAATGTGGCCAAACATGTCAAGGACAACAAGGGGGATGATCCTGCCCCTCTACTCAGCCTTAGTGAGGCTACATCTGGAGTGCTTTCTCCAGTTCTGGGCTCCTCATTACAAGAGATACAAGGAGTTCCTGGTGCAGATCCAACACAGGCTGACAAAGGGACTGGAGCATCTTTCTTACAATAGAATGAGGGAGCTGGGCCTGTTCAGCCTCAAGAAGAAATGACTGAGAGGCAACCTCATATATATTGTCTCCCCCAAAATCCTTGCAGGTAAGCTCGGGAAATGTGGGTTAGATGAATGGATCTTGGGATGAATCAAGAACTGACAATTGCATAGCTTAGTGGGTTTGTACAGACACTGTCCTAATAGGGGAGTACAAAATCCACATGGAATAATGATTTTCAAAGCTCAGGTTGATGTGAGAGCTGGAACCAACCAGACACTAAAACAATGTCTGCTGCAATAGGCTGCAAATGCTGCAAAGTTTTTTTTTTAAAGATACTTCACATCAGTGGTGGAAACCAGTCTATGACATAGCCCCCAAAATCTCCTCCAAGAAGAGACAACAAAAAGAGGATATGCAGAATGTAGTCCTCATAGTTCCCTTCCCTGCTCCCCGTCCCCCCAAAAAACCTGATCAGTGGACCAGAACCCAGCTGGAGGCCTGCAGTCAGTGGTGTTCCCCAAGGGTCCAGTCTCACTGAATTTGTTTATCAGTGACCTGGAGGAAGGGATCAAATGCACCCAAGTTTGCTGGTGACACCAAACTGGGGGCAGTGGCTGATCCACCTGAAAGCTCTGCTGCCATTCAGTGGGACCTTGATCAGCTGGAGGGTTGGGCAGAGAGAAACCTGGTGAGGCTCAACAAGGGCAGGTGCCAGGTCCTGCAGGTGGGGAGGAACAGCCCCAAGTGCCAGCACAGGCTGGGGCTGACCTCCTGCAGAGCAGCTCTGTGGAAAAGGACCTGGGGCTCCTGGTGGATCACAAGCTGTCCATGAGCCATCAGTGTCCCAGTGGCCAGGAGGGCCAATGTCATCCTTGGGTGCATTGGCAAGAGTGTGGCCAGCAGGTCGAGGGAGGTGATCCTCCCCCTCTGCTCAGCCCAGGTGAGGCCACACCTGGAGTGCTGTGTCCAGTTCTGGGCTCCTCAGCACAAGGGAGACATGGAGCTACTGGAGAGGGTCCAGTGGAGGGCCACAAGGATCATCAGGGGTCTGGAGTTTCCCTCTCAGGAGGAGAGACTCTGGAAGCTGTGATTGTTTGGTCTGGAGAAGACTGAGAAGGGATCTCATCAATACACAGAAATATCTCAAAGATGGAGTCAGGAGGATTGTGCGAGACTCCTCTCAGTGGAGTGATCGAGCACTTATGTTGGATGAGGAGCAATGACCAAAAACTAAGGCACAAGAAGTTCTACCTCAACATGAGGAAAAACTTCCTTAGACTGAGGGTGGTAGAACACTGGAACAGGCTACCCAGGGAGATCATGGAGTCTCTCTCTCTGGAGACACTCAAAAACCTCCTGGATGCATTCTGATGTAACCTGCCCTAGGTGCCTTTGCCTTGGCAGGTGGGTTGGACTAGATCATCTCCACAGCTCCCTTCCAAACCTAACAATTCTGTAATTCTCATCAGTGTCTACAAGTATTTAAAGAAAGGGTGTCACTGCATGGATCCAGGCTCTGCTGAGTGATGCCAAGAAACAGGACAAGAGGCAACGGGCAAAAACTGACACACAGGAAGTTCCACCTGAACAAGAGGAGGAACTTCTTTTCTGTGCAGTGACTGACTGCCTAAAGAGGTTGTAGAGTCTCCCTTACCGGGGATATTTAGGAACAATCTGGACAAATTCTGTGCACTGTGCTATAGCACAACTGCCATGAGCAGGAGGGGGTGCACCACATGACCCTTCCACCCTGACCCATTCCATGATTCTGTAAGTCAGTGATTCCTGTTTTATTAAAAAAAAATATATATATATATACACATGTATATATGTGTGTGTGTGTATATATATATATATATATACACATGTGTATATATATGTGTGTGTGTGTATATATATATATATATATACACACACGCACACATATACTATATACAGCTATACCTATAAACAACATCAACTGTCCTGTCCTCCCTTCGCTGTGTTTTAAGTACACAGGGGACTTGCCAAAGACATGCCTACCAAAGATGCTTACCAAAGAAAGACACCTGGTAGGTCAGGACCAGTACAGTTACATGCATTTCTCTTCCTCCCTTTGCACTGATTATGGTGATTTTTCATGTAATTGAAATATATCCCAATCTTTATCTAATTCACCTGGCTTGCTGTAAAAAGCCTCCAACCAAGGAAAAAGAAAAAACAACACTTTTTTTTCTCCCCAGGGGACTTTTGCTTTTTCCTGTTTAGCAAACCTTTGATTTTTCTGTTGAAATTGACATTTTGAAGTAGTTACAGTATTTTTCTCTTACAATATGTTTTTTTTATATCAGAACAAAACCCTTCTATTTTAAGCAGCTGCCACAAAAAATGGGGACAGATTAAAAAATGTCTATATAATAAACAGACAACAACGAGTAGTTAAAATTCAGAGGACATTTCCTAGGGGACTATAAATAATAAATAATTTGTGTGAGGCTAAGGAACAGGCATAGTAACATTTTCAAAATGGCACACTATCAAATCAAGAGGACTAGACTCCTGCAACAAAAGGCAAAGAAAAAGGATATGCATTTTAAGCTCCATTGACTCTCTCCAAACATGGAGACCACTGTCAAAGAGTGGTATCTACAGAGTGCCTTGCTTATTGCTGATCTCTGATAAGGATACTCCAGGATTTTCTTTCCTATAGAAAAACAGTAAAACTGCTTTCTGATTACACCATCCATTTGACCTACAGCACCAGCTGTGAAGTAGTACCTATTAACATTCATAGATCCTATTGTGGAACCAGGGACCCTGAACAGTACTGGCTGGGGATAGAAGCAGTAGCAGGTGCCACTGCCACTAAAACCTCCAGATTCTGCAGTGTTTTAATTATAAGGAGACCATTCTAAAAGGTTCTAACTCTCTACTGCAATTCTAATAAAATAAAACAATAATTTTCAAGATTAATTGCACAGCAGTATAAGCAATGTGAGCTATCTGTTAACTCCTGAGAGTGTGAATTGACACTCTATGGTTTGCTTTCACAGACATGTCAACAATTTGAAAAACTAAAGAAGTCTCAACACAGGACCTCTGAGGAGAAAATACCTAGAAGTAGTCATGGAACACTGGTTGAAGACAAAGCTACAAATAAAAGGAAGCATACTATGATGTACCATTAGGTTGGTGCAGGACAGCAAAAATCACTCATCTTCCCTTTTCAGAATGGAATTAAACCCTACAAGGGGTTATTTCACTAAAGTGCTTGCAATTAACACTCAGATCTTTGGATGGAAAATGTAACAAATTGCTACAGTTTCCTTGTAGTGGTAGAATAAGTGTCCTAGAGTGAGGAGACCCCCAGCTGTACAATGAAATACTGGCAAATTATATTCCACTTGTACTGATTATATGTTTTCCTATAAAATTTAATGAATAAAGCTTGCTAAAATAATTAAGTTTAAATATTGCATTCTGCATCTTTATGTAATCGCTGGCAGTCAGTAAATTTTAAGCATCCTTTGAAGACATTCTGTAACTTGTGGCACAGTTTCCCTTGTTTCCTTTGGAAAGAAGGCTATGATATTAGTCTGTCTGTACACCTCTGATCAAACAAAGCACTGACCTTGCAGACAAATATGGCTAACTGGCTCAAAATGCAATAGGTAAAATACAGTTAAGGAAAAAACGGGCAGTCAGGACTAGCACAGCCCTAACACTAGACATTTATGGACCCTATGGGTGCCAGGAAAGGAAAGGCTTTATTTGGTATTTGCAAATTGAAAGTCAGTCACAAATTAGAAATCCAGAAGAAATTAGATTGTCTTCTTGAGAGTTTGACACTGAATGGCAAGGAAGACAAACTGGAACACAAGGTGGAAAAGAGATTGTTGAATCATATAAGTGTATACAGATATTGCACTACCTTGATTACAAAACTACCAGCTTGCACTCCAACATTATATAACCTGTGTTAGAAAACATGTCCAGATGTTTTCTAAGGGAAAATGTTCCCCTTTTAGCTATTCAGTAGTCCTGTACAGCAAGCTGACAGATGAAGTTTTTTCCAAAACACGTGCCTAATGTGCACTCCACAAAAAAGAGACACATTTTCAGTACATGCTTTACATGCTATCTATACAATCCAGCTGCAGAGACTGGGAGGTTTAGCACCGTTCCAAAGAATGGTGCAGTATTGCAGAGCACCTATTTTTCACAAAACACTAGAGTTTTTAAAGACATGACACAGCATCCATAGGAGGAAGAAATCTGAATTGTGTAACTCCACTTCTTCTTTAAGAAGGAAATGTAATTTTTAAAATTAAAATTAAGCTTTGTTATTCCACCATTCTTTTTGTTGGCAAACGAAAGCCATAAGCTGAAACTACACGATGCTGGGGAAATTAAATATAAATCTGGATGCCACTTATTCCACTTATAGTGTTGTTTCTAGCCTTGTCAATATCCAATGTGAAATGTAAATATCAAGCAAAAAAATCTAAAAAATTATAACTAAATCCTAAGAATTCACCATAAATTCTGTAAATAGAATATTTCATAAATGTATTTTTCAGCACACAATGATATCCAAGACTAAAATCTGAGTCAAAGATAGCATTCTTCAGATAAATTAAGTCACAGGTGGCAGTCACAAGTAACAAGGCATACCTTATTTCCTCAATTGCACAACTCTTTTAATTGAAACACATGTAAATGAACGTGATTGAAAAGACAGTGAATGGTGGTTGTAGAATAATAGTGAGCATTTTAAATTGCAAATAACTTGTCTAACAATCAGTACCAACAGTTTTACACTTTTGACCCACTGCTCACTTATCATCTGTGTAACAGCATCTTCTAATACTGTTGAAATCTACCACTGCTAATTGGTTTTTAGAGTCAGAATGTATATATCTAAATTTATCCCCAGATGAGACCATTTTACTGTATCTCTACACAGTCTTTGCAAAGCATGATGCTGAAAAAAAACACTGCTGCCCTATATAATTCTTAAATCAAGGAAATTCAATCTTACAGCCTTAACATTCTGAGAATGTTAAAAAACGCCCAAAACAGTAGCAACTGTAAGCCAAATTAGGCAATTCACTCCTAGAATGTTTTAACAAAGACATTTATTTCTTATTATAAATGAAATCAATACTAACATGGAGTTTGCAGGGGTTTTTTTTAATTTTAAACAACCCTAAACTGGTTAGGGGTTCACACTATAGAAATAATCCATTAAATATTTACAAGAAAAAAAAAATCAGAAGTTCATAGCACCATACCTGTGCCCTTGCATGAGCTTCCCCAAGGAGACCTGAGTACTGCTGTTCCAGATACTTTTTTTCACTCTGCCAACAGCTTGCCTGCGCTTTCATTTGTTCAGCCAATTTGTTAAAAGCATCTTCCTGGCTCTGCTGAAACTCCTTCATAATATCGGACTTGTTTTTACAAACATATTCCAGGTGAGAGATCTGTGTAACAAGCATTTAAAAAGAAATTACTTCTCTAAGCACCTGTTTACTTTATTGTACATATCAGCTTAACCACAGATGACCCCGGCATAAACTCTAAACTGTAATTTCTTCAATATTCATTAAAATTAAGTAAAAGCCTTTCATGACAGATTATTTACTTGAGTTGTGCAACAAAATTAACAAAAAATTGAATTAAGTTTTGCCATTGTTGTACCATATTGAAGAAGTTTGTTGCTTTCTTTGTTGAAAACCTGAACTGTACACTTCTCCTATGTTTTGGCTTTTTGTATACAAGAGCATTAAATCTTCTATTAGTAAAGTACCAGTCTCTTAGAAGTTTGCAAGAATTGCATATAATATGCAAAAAAAAAAAAAAAAAATAGTCCTTAATTTAATTTTTGTTTTAGTGGAAAACCAAAACATTCCAGATACTATTAAGCATTAAAAGAATTTCAGGACATTTTAGCACACACAAGTTGTTTTCAACAAGTACAAATGGATTCACTCTGCGGATAACTTAGGAGCTCCTGCACAAACTAAATGGAGGAATGAATCCAGGTAACAATAATCTTTAAATACACACACCTACAATTAATTACTAGAGAGTATCAGCAAGCTACTTTTCAAATGCGTCACACAGGAATGCAAGAGGAAAGTTTGGTTCCCAAGAAAGCGGGTACAACACAAGTGACATACTGTTCAAAATCCCTGAAAAGCATAAGTATAAGAAAAATATATTCCATAAGTATATGAAAAAGTATATTCCATAAGTATACGAAAAAAGCCCTAGAGACCTCACAGTCAATATCAATAACCATACTAAATTAAAAATCAAGAAACAATATGACACAACATCCCCAAACACTGCCAGTAATGTTCACTCCCTTCTCTTCTACTCCCTCTCCTCATTTACTTCAAAAGTAAAATACCAAATTATATCAAATATTTACAATCCAGATTTTATCCTACCCCTTTGGTAAGGGGATAGGTCCAACTGACTGCTGGGGTACTTATTAAATGATGATTAAAACAATTCACTATAACCAGCCCTGCATCTTACTCAGACCAGAAGAGTGGTCACTCCTGAAGATGAAAAATGTCAAAAGAAGATTTTCCCTCACTATGTCTCAAAAAATGTCTGCACAGACAAGTTCTGGAGTTGCTGTACTAGTCTTAAGACTGACCTGATCAACAGAGCCAGAAAACAAACTGAAATTCTAAAGACTGTCATATGTTAGTCTGTGAAGTCAGTTTAATTTATTTAAAAGGACATCTTTTCTTTCCTAAAAATCCAGGGATTTCTGGAGAGAAAGGCCACATAAGCTTACTTGCATCCTGAGAAGTACAGCTCCTCCTTATAGCAAATATTGAAATATTTTATAAAAATAGGTATTTTCTATTTGTGTTACTGAATATTATTGAATTCTATAATCCATGAGTTACAATTAAATGAAAAAAAATACACTGTCATTCTTTCAAATGAAATAATAAACTCTGAATAATAAACATATAATTTAAAGACGATACTCCTTGAGTAAGGGCATTTTGTTTCAGTTTTATGGCAAAATAAAGACTTGCTTTATTAGTGTAAATGACTAAGTTCTTTGAATTGCTTCATCAGTAAGATTAATTTATTTTCTTTTAATTAGGTCCCTGTGGCTAATATTGGCTAGTACTATTAGCATGTCCTGCACTGAAAATGGAGCTTAGAGACTTCACACAGACTTCAGTCACATTTACATGCCCACAGCAATGGCATCAAACTGAGTTGTAGACAAGCCATAATTAATGGTATTGAATTATTAACGTCCAAATTCTTTTTGAAATAAGATGAATGTCAGTCCTTTTTAATGATACTGCGATGTGGACAAATGTCACTGAATTTAATAGAGGTAGCTGGTGCCTAAGGACACTTACCTTCTCATTAGCCCTGTTGAGGTCTGAGATCAGGGCATCAACATTCTCCTGCAAGACTACACAAAGCTCAGGCCAAGAGAATCTATCTAGGATGCCTTCTGGTTGTTTTATAAGCACACAGCCTGCTATCAAATGCTGGTATAAGCTATGAAGGAAGGTTAGTTTCTCCTGAAACAAAAGGAGAATTACATGATGTATCTGAACAGTGTTAGAATTGAAATATGTGCATCACATGGGCAGTAATATGAACTACATGCAAGTGAAAAAAAGCCCACACAGCTCATACACAAACCTTTTTCAAAACACCATAATTGCTAATATTTGCAGTCATACATATTGAAGCGAATAAGAAAACAGTTTTTACAAAATGTGTCTATTCAGACATAATATATAAATGCCTATATAAATACAGAACAGTCCTGCTGTTATCACAATGACTATCTGATACAGATAAAAAATCCCATGCTATTAGTATATGCAATTTATTTATTCATGGCAAAACTTTCAGTTATACTCTAACTGTACCCACTTACAACTGCACAGCTGCAGAGCATGCAGAACATTCTCTGATTGCCTTGGCAGCACAACACACAATTTATACAACTATCACTCTAAAGTCTTTTTTAAATTGTTTTTGTATGGATTATATATGAGACTAAATGGCCAGACAAAATAGGCTTATAGCTTCATGAGTTAAATTCCATAAGCCATGCCTCATTCATTTACACTGATTTTAGTCAGTAATACAATACATTGATGCAAGTTATAAATAAACTTTAGCAACAATAGCATGCTATAGAAATTCCATCCTTAATGCTTTCAGTACATATACGCAACTTAGCAACTTTGATTAAGACAACAATAGCAAGTTGTAGCTGAAAAGTCGCAAGGACAAAGTCTGTAAACTATTGCAAAGGTTCCCATTATTTTCAGGGGTCTTGGTGGAGGTTTTACATTAAGAAAATATGGACGGCGAAGTTTGGAAAGTTGGATTTTTCTGAGCCTTTTCCATTACACTTAGGTATATTTTCTCACAATTATTGCATGGCATTTTAGGTAATTAAAAGTGAATTGTAGTTCAGTTTAGTTGAACTTTGTTTCTAACAGATCCACAAACTCTCCAAGGAAAATCCAGTGTGCCACCATCATTACATCTGACGTTTGAGCTGTGATAAAATTAGGACGATAATTATCCATTTGGCGCAAGAAACAGGATTCCAAGACCCCAAATCAATTCACACATGTTGAATGCAACCACAGGGTTGTAGACATGCTGACTTTACAATATAGCCAGACTTCTAGTTTCCTCCACTTTAATCATTATCTGATGTGTGTAACAATTCCAGCTGCTTCATGTGGACCCTATTTAAATACCAGACTGTAAAAGAGGTGGAAAGAATGTTTCCTTTTTACTCAGTTGGCATCCATGTCCAAATTTGTGGAAGTAATGAGCTCAATATGCACAACAACTACAAGTACATCATTGCCATTACTAGTACAGAACTGCTTTATTGGGTGGAAAAAGCAACAAAATTAACATCTGTTAATACATATAAGGAGAGAGATAATAGTTCTGAAATAAGACATTGTAGACCCATTCCCACATACAGCACACCACAATCAGCTAATAGATAAAAGGTAAGAATTTCTAGGCTTTGTGGCATGCATGCAAAACTACCTCAATTTCATATTTGCTACCTATACATTTCCATGTGAATAAGCAATTAACATATGATAATGACAATATTACATGTTTCAATTGTAAAACATTTCTGCTAACTTTTAATTTGAAAGAAAGAAATAATTGTTCGTCAGGCATAGATTTTAAATAAAGTCTGTTTTTCAAAAATTCAAAATACTCAAATGATTAAGCTATTAGTTCTGATACAGAAGAAAGGAGAACCAACATGTCATGAAATCCTGTACATATTAAACACATATTTCAAAATACGTATCTTAAAATCATATTTTAGGGATAAATCTGTTAAAACTAAGAGTAACCATCTGATGTATGTAAATGTATAAAGCTGAGATTAAATAAAGACTCTTTGACAGTCATCTTGTCTCTAGTAATACCTCCATATCCTTCTGGTAAGCCCTGGTAAGCTTCTGGATTTCATTTTCAGATTCTGTGGCACGTACTCGCTCTTTCTCCCAGCATTGCTGTACATCCTGTAGTTCCATTTTTAAAGTTTCTATTAAAGTCTCTCTGTCTGCACACTTAGTGTGCAGACAGCTCAACTCTTTATTGGCATCAGCCATGGTATCTTGAGCTTCCTGTAAAACAGAGGAATTTAACAGAAAAGCTGGTATAAATTTTACTCTATAAAATGCTACCTTATTCAAGTGTTCATCACCTGAGGAAAAAACAGTCATATAACCACATGTATTCACAAGATTCCAGGCTAGGTGGACTTTATCTTTCAAGAAGAGAATTTCAAAACTGACAATAGGCCTCTTCAACAGCTTGCAACTAGACAGCATTGGAAATCCATCTCTGACAGGTAAAGGCTCCATGATGCAGTAATCTACACAGTACCCTCTATGCCCACAAATGAGATGCAGAACACAGGGATGCAACTTATCCTTTGCAGAGTGTAACACTCTCAGACCTATTGAAAAGATACATTATTTTCTTAAGAGAATCCCTGATCTGTTAGCACTGAGTCTGCAAGCAACATAGCTGCTGTTGTGCATTGTATTCTTTACATGCAAGATAAAAAAAGTGAGGACTCTCTTTAGGGGCTTGACCATGGGAAATAAGTAATCAGAAAGGGTCATAAATACATAACCAACACCAAAATCTCACCAGGTAAACACAGAACTTAATACACAATCCCCTCTGAGCCAAAATATGGTGCAGTTACACTGGATTTCCAGCACCACTAAAGTTTGCAAAAGGTCAAACTGAAAGCACTGTTTATTTTTCATAAAATCATAGTTTCACAGACCATAAAATCATACAAAAGACTCCACCAAATTCATCAGAAAATGACAAATTTTATTATTCTAAATAAAAACATTAAAATATTAAAGTAATTTTAATTTCCTAGTACAAATGCTTTCAGACTCAATCTAGATCTTGATCATCCATACAATATTAATACCAAAAATTTAGAGAGATTGAAAACTGGCATACTGCATAAAAACCAGTACCCTGTGTGTGTAGCAAGCTCAGTTTATGTGTGAAGAATACAAGTATCTCTAGGAAAGGGTTGCAAAATTTTTAGGTGACTTAAAAAGGTGTTGTAAAAGAAGTCCTAAATCTTCTGAACATAAATTAGTAAAAAAAGTTAATAATAGGTGACAACACATCATGTGCAAGTATCCATTAATGTGAAGATTCAGTGAATGTTACAGAAAAGCACTGCACAAAACATAAAGCAGCATATCCTCAGAAAAAGAATCTGAAAAACGCTGTGTTTACAGACATTCTATTTTGGCAGCAATACAATACAGTGCTAGTTGGGAGATTAAGTTAAAACACTACCTCAGGACTTGCTCACTCCCTTGGCTATTGATTTAACCAGACAGGACATTACAAAAGTGGTGTCAGCCAAAAGCAGAAAAACAAAATTTTGTTCCAAAACTAAAGGAAAGAGCTCTCAAGTGTTTTTATCTCAAGTAACTTTTACTCCAAGAAATTTTAGGCCACACACTTTATAGATGTTAAAGACAACTTGATGCATCACATCAATTAACCTTTCTGATAAACACAAAAAAATTAACTAAAGAATTGACATCTTTAATAAAATATATACCTTCATATGCAGAGGTATTTAAATTCTCTTTACCTTTTCTTGAGAAAAATGGCTAAACAAAAAAGATCACTGAAAACAATTTCAATATAAAACAATACCCTGCAAATTTATCAATGTATTTTAATTATTTCAGAAGTGCAATCATTGAAATTATGTACTTTATAGTGGTAACCAGGATAAAGCAGCATGGTTTCACACAAACTTGCGAGGTAAACTAGTTTGCTCAACAGACTACAATGATATAAAGACTTATCCTGACAAGAAAAAAAGATACTTTTAATCCAGAAAGATACCTTTTGCAGAATGTTCATATTTTATGCTAAGTTCATTAAACCATACCTTAAGGTCTTGTCTTAAAGCACACATTTTCTCCTCAGATACTTCAAGTTCTTTTGTCATCTTTTTACACAAAGCCTTCGTTTTCTTAAGCTGCAAAAAATATGAAAGTCAAAGAGGCTTTTACAGAAAGGCTGCAGTGATCTATTCAATATAATATAAAGGAAGAATTTTGTATATCAAAGTAAAAAAAACAAAATTTACTTCCATTCCTTGAAGAGTTTTTGTACTCCACACAATCTAAATAACATACCATTACAAAACACTACATAACTCCTTTATAATGATTTAAAATAAAGAGTAGTGGCAGAATCCCAAATTGAGTCCATTCTTACCTATCCTATTAACTCTCAAAATACCTGACAGAAACACAGATTCTGAAATGCACTTGAAATTGTAGTAAATTATCTGGGGAATGGTTTGAGAAAACAAGTTTTTAAGTCAGTGGCCATTTGCAGAAATTGTCCAGCTACAAGCTTGATTCTTTACTGAGCACTGGATAGTACTCACATACTGTAAAAAGCAGTAATGTACCACAGAGGCACAGTGACTTTTAGGGTTAAAAGCAAAAGCAATCTCAGAGGTTGCTTAATATGTACTGAGGTATCATCATGTGTACTATCTTCACTTTGCACTTTCAAAAACGAAAACAACATACCAAAATAATCTGTATCTCTGTTTATATGATGATACTGCTAATGCCTGACATTTAAGGAGCAACTAAGAAACAGAATACCTAATTTACAAAATTTATGAATTACATTTGTTTATTTTTATATTTCGATGTCAGGAAACTTGGCAGAACCCTTAGAAATAACTACAGTAAATTAAAGAATGCTACTGGAATATTTCCAGTCTTTTTATTGGTTTACTAGTTTTTTCCCTCTATCCAAACATATTCTGGTGTATGCACTATATGTAAAGTCAGAAGCCAGTTATCTACAAAACACTTCTACACCTTTCTAGTTTGTTAGTTTGTGTGACTACACAAACTAACTAGATCTTTTAATCAAATGTTTAACACAATAAGTTAAAGATGACACATGACAAGTCTACCAGCAGATTTCACATATACATATAGGTGTACACATACATTAATAAATTCATCAATATGTGGGATCTTGTTGAAAATTTTTTTATAAAGAAAACCACTAAAATTTGCTTACTGTTGTGTTGCTTACTAAAACCCTTCCTTATTGTGTATCAAAACATCCTAGTTTTATTGCACAGTGCCCTTCATAGTCCCCTTGTCCATTATTGTATTATTAAAATGTTTTATTATTAAACATATCTCACACATAAAAAGCCAAAAGCAGCATTCTCTGTGGGGGCAGGGGTAATCAAGAAGGACAGAGCACTGCCCTTTCTGTGCACCACGAAGGTGCTCAGTGATCTCTGGCTCCATATGACAACTTCAGGGTCAGTCACACACAGTCCTACTGGGAAGTCTTGTGGCAGGTCATCTGTTGGTCCTGCTCTGCTTGCGATTTATTTTCCTTGACAGTTCATTCTTCTTTCTGTCAGAACACTCTCTTTGCTTTCTTAGAAGCCACCCCCTTGGTCTCCCCACTGCTGTCTCTGGCACAGTTTCACAACAAAGCACATCACTAAGCCAAAGCCTGCTGAGTCGACTTTTCAACTGTGCTGCCTATCACGTGATGCTCCTCCTCCCAAATAACAATTCGCTGTGGGTAATATGTTCCTAGTTACTCTGCAGCTTCCAGACTTGGGTCTCAGAAGAGTTTCATAATGACTATACACATCAGTTCTCTTATCTCACTGGGAGAGACTTAACAGTGCTTGCTGTTTAAAAAGTATAATTGTTACCATGGTCACTTGTTTTTGTGCCCCTTGAACAAACTCAAAGGTCTTGTGGGAGATCATTCTTTTCCCAATAGAAGGGGCAAAGCTGATATACTTTTCTTTTTTTTATTTTTGCTTTTTAATTTTTTTAACCTGTTGAGCGACTAGCTAGACAGTAGGTTTTGTCTTTTGTTTGTCAAAACAAAAGACAAAACCTAAACATGAAATAGAGTGCTGGCACCTTTACAATCTCATCACACCTTGACTTTCTGTATTTGCCAGTTTTATTCAAAAACCAATCACAAGTTTGTACAAAAAGTTTCAATGGTGCAGTTAACTTCTTTCTACAGCCTTTAAAGCCACAAATTAATAAAACATTTACACCCAAGAGGAGTAATTTAGTCAGACTAGCAAAACACACAAGAAAATAAATGCAAAACTGTAACTTCTAAGTCAGTGGTATAAAAGGATAGTAGGAGTGCATGGAAAACATCTGATTTTTTTCAAGGGTAAGTTTCTCAAAACTGAAATATTTCCATTATTTTCTTAGATAGCCTAAAGATCGTATTCTAACAGTCCTATTTTAATTAAAATTATAGCAAAATAGCTGCTAAAGAGAATCCACTGAAAACACTCTACTCAGAAAATTATATCAGTTTTAGAAGTACAAGGGAGCATGACCATTTACACGTCTGATAGCAGTGACTACTAAGGCTCAACCATTGTGTATTTAGGAACACTGCAGTATATGCAGCTGCCCTCTTAGATCATTTTCTTTTAACTAAAATTCTATATATGAACGGCTTGTTATCCTAAATGTTTTTTTAAAATAACCCCAAAAGACTAAACAAGAAATTCAAATTAAACTAGAAAGACAAAAAACTGTTCTCCTTTTCCCCACAAATGTGAAACTTTACTGTAGGGCAAGCTTAGAGAAATAGTAGCAACAGAGATTTTTTCTTCAGGCATACTTGAAGCTGTCTACTCAACATTCCCACTCTTCTGCTGTTTTTTTACAAGCAAAGTGTATGTTCCGCTGCAGGCCAAATGCGATACATATAGTGCCAAACATTGCAAGTGTTACCTCATTAGACCTATCTTCCAGCTTGTTCTGGTAAGCTGTCAAGGTACACCTCAAAGTCTCAACGACAGAGCAGCTCAGAGGTTTATCTTTGTCCTCACAAGTGCCTGAAGGAAAACACAGAACAAAAATTAAGCCTTAAAGCCACAGAGAGAAAATTACTCACCCTGGATGTGAGGTATTAGAATTAGTTAGGGCTTCAGTGACAATACAGAACACTGAAGAGCAGTCTTGTTTGCCATGAGAGATATAGCTGTATAGCCATGCTTTCACAGCAAATATAGCTAAAAGACATCTGTATAAGAGCTTTAATAGAAGATACAGAACTGTAAATTCTGAATTAAATTTATAGCTAATGCATTTGGTATGCAGTCTCACATATTATTTCTACTGTGGTCAAACGTGTGTCACTCAGTCAGACAAGCCAACTTTGAAACCACATAAATATATACTTTAAAAAACATGTTTGAAAGTTAAGAATGCTACACTTTTCCTGACATTATTTTGCTGTTGTGACTAAGCATGCATATAGTAATGCAGTATTTCATTTACTTAAAGCCTTATCAAGCCAAAGATCACATGATTATGTTATGCTTGGAGAGGACTTAACAACATTTTAAATTATCTTGAAAGTCATTATAAAGGAAATGAAAAAAAGAAAATTATCTATTTGCAGAGTCCTATGTAATGGTACAATTATAAATCTGATATATCCATTATAGACACACTAAATGTATTTATTAAACTTTTAGATTGAGACTTCTGATCTTGTTGCCATAACTGGGGACATATTAACAAGACCATTCCAAAGTGCATAGAACAATGTGCCAAAAAGGCGAAACAACACTGCATTGATCAAGAGGTCACAAGATTTCAGCTGATATTCAGCTTCCAAGAACAAACTTTTCTTTTTTCCTAGTGTTACACCACAAGACTAGGTTACTGACAGACCAATCCTCTCAGCATTATTTATATTCTTAAGAAGCATTTATTACTTACTTTGTAGAAAATTATAGTATAAAACTTTGAAACAATTTTTAACATGTTCTATAAGCAAAACTATCTTCACCAACTCTAACAGCATCCTTCTTTTGCAAAAGTGAAAAATCTGTGGGATTTTAAATCCAGGAAGGCTAAATCATAGTAACTCTCAGCACAATTAAACAATGATAGAGGTGCTGATCACCAGTGTCACTATACAATTTACACAGAGTGGCTTATAAAGTGAAATCAGGTACTAAAGTCTGAGAATTTTCTTTGGCTCTCCATAAAACCTTATCAGAGGAGGCCACCTACATACTTGCAGGGCATTTTTTACAAAATTCTATGTTTAGTGTCATTAATAATTCTACTAAGGCATTGTATAAAAATGATTAAATTCCTCCGGTAGGCTACACATAACACACTAATAGAACTTAGTGGAAAACTTACTTAAGTGCACATGTCAGAACATATTGCCAACTGCTGTTTACAAAATTCTTTCAATTAGTTAGCCTCTTCTCTCCCGACTTTTGAAAATACCACAAAGTATAAAGGGATGTTCAAGCTGGACTAGGTGTTACAGCCAAATCCCACCTATTCAAAGCAACATATATTTGCAAGACTGCTTTGAGTAAAAGGAGCAAGATCAGCTCTACAGCATGCACATCCCAGTGACAGACCTCTGTCCTATCAGCCACTCCATCTACTTACCACAGTTTCTAAAAGTCTGTAGAGTCAGGGAAAAAGCAAGAGTTTCTTAATGACAATTCAGAACCCTGTGAATCCTAGAGATACCCCAAACAACAGTGTTACACTTAAAACCAATCTAAGAAGAATTCATAAAATCTGACCTCTTTTGAGAAGTTAAGATTTCACATTGAAGAAAGTGACAAGTGTGACCTTACAATAATTTTTATCACATAACCACAGCTATAGCTATGCACAGAGCTCCAGTCCAGTCTTCTCATTTACAAGACCAACCTCTCACTACTACCCATTGTATGAACATTCTGCATTGATCTTGTTGCACAAAAAAAATAAACACCATTTTTTCATACTTGCAACTCTAGCAAAGTGGTAACATACAATTCTCGTTCAGTTTAAAACAATACCTATCAAGTCGATCCAAGAGTTATCTTCCATACCATAGTTTTTGTCAAACAGTCTAAATAATGTATTTTCATATTTTAAGTCCCAACCTGCAATGATGTTATTAATATCATGTTTGCCAAAATTAGAATTTTGCCAGTAAACTTTTCATGCTGTCATTCCTTGCCTTTGCTGTAACCCTATCTCTAGGAGGCTCAATCTGCCAATAGAAATACAGATTCAGCCTACCTGCATTATCTGAAAACAAACCTATAGCTTTAATGCTGTCCAAATGTTGTCTGACTTCATACAACTGTGCAGGAGACATGCAACATAATCCAGATACACTCTTTTGTGGTAGAAGCACCATGTCACCAATGAGATAAAAAACCCAACCCAGTACTTGAAGTGTATGCCCAGTATTGCCCAAGAGTTTGAAGGAAGAATTTGGGGAAAATGCCAAGCCCCATACAAGTCTTACAGAAGTATTCAAGTGAATAAACTCTTAAATCTGCTGTTTCAGACTTTCTGCTAGCTGTACTGGGCCAAGGGTAGGAAAAGAGATAATTTTCTTCATAACAGCTCATATGGTGCTGTGTTTTAGATTTTTGACCAAAAGAAGGTGGTGCTAACTCAAAGCAGTTAACACTCCTAGGACTTTGCACTCATTTCACCTTTTTCTTCAGATTACTACAACCACAATTAATTTTTCCTGAAGAGAAACATTCCTAAGAACATACCCTATTGATAAATAACTGCACAATGTGATAAACTGAAAAGACACAAAGTGAATTCATGCAAATGAATCAATGAGAATAACAATGCTCTAGAAAATGTATAAAGGTCACTGGAAAAGGAGAAAACATGGATTTATGCTTGTTATTTTGACATGTATAAAGAAAAAAAAATCTTTCTAAAACCATTTAGGTTTTCATCTGTACTGGGTTTGCATGGGCTGGGTTTTGATAGCAGGGGGGCTCCAGGAGTGGCTTCTGTGAGGAGCTGCTAGAAGCTTCCACCACGTCCGGCAGAGCCAATCCCTGGTGGCTCCAAAGATGCGATGTGCCACTGGCCAAGTCTGGGCCAATTAGAAATGGTGATTTTGTGATAACAGGTTTAAGAACAAATCAAAACAAATGCTGTGGCGCAATTTTAATTGTCACTACAGAGAAGCAGGAGTGAGAACAAGTGAGAAGAACAACTCTGCAGACACCAAGTGGAGAAGAAGGGACAGGAGGTGCTCCAGGCACCAGGGCCCACATTTCTCTGCAGCCCATGGTGCAGCCCATGGTGAGGCAGCTGTGCCCATGCATCCCATGTAGGGCCACAGGGATGCATAGATCCACCCGCAGACCATGGAGGAGCCCCGCACTAGAGCAGGCAGATACCTTGGAGGAGGTTGTGATCCTGTGGAAGGCCTGTGGAGAGAGGGCTCCTGCTGCCAAGCTTGAGTAGCCTGTCCTTGGAAGGATTGCACCCCATGGAAGAGTGACCCACGCTGCAGCAGTTTTGGGAGGACTGTTGCCCGTGGAATGGACCCACGGTGCAGCAGTTTGGAGGGAGCTGTTGCTGATGAGATGGAGCCACGTTGGAGAAGCTCTCAGTGAACTGTCTCCTGTGGGAGGGACCCTGCGGTGCAGCAGGAGAAGGACTCCTCTCCTGAGTAGCAGGAGAAGCCACGGGTGATGAACTGACTGTAACACCCATTCCCTGTCTCCTTGCAGCTGGATAGGACATAGAGCTGGCAAAGGAGGTAGAGGGAGGGATGAGGGAAAGGTGTTTTTTTAAGGGTTTGTTTTACTTTTCTTATCCTGCTCTGATTTTTTTAGTAATAAGTTCATATCTGTAAGTTAAGCCTGTTTTGCCTATGATGGTATTTGATGAGTGAACGCTCCTGGTCCTAACCATGAACCCTTCCTTAAATTTCCTCTCCTCTGTCCAGCTGCATGAGTAAGCAGCTTTCATGGGTGCCTGGCATTGGCCCACATCAACTGGGCTGACGACCAATACTATCTATAAAAATATAGTATTGTCTTCTCTTTACTGTATAGCCTAATAATCATAGACTGATTAGCACTTGAATTAAGAGGCTGAATCTTTAGTGTTGGATCTTTAATACTGACAAATTTTTAAGTAGATCTCTCAACCCCTTGAGTTCAGTGTTGACCACAAGAACAAGACTTCCCTATCAGCTGTGGCTCATGTAGCCCCTCATCTAGTAATTACACTACAAAGATATATTTAAGATTTTTACTTTTATTGGCATATACGTATTCCCATTTCAAATATAATAACAATGATTTTTTAAGACTTTAATAAATGCTATTAAATACAAAAAAATAAAAGTATACCACAGTAATAATATAATAAAGCAAAAGCATTAAAAATTAACTTTCAAATTTAAAAGCACAGCAAATAAGTAGAACAAAAGTCTTAGTCAATGTATATTCTAATATTAAAAAACTGTAATTGACTGTAAAGACTCAGTCAATCCACTGCAAAACTAAATTCTACTATATGCCTCAAGAGCCTCTTCAGAGTTCCTAAAGCTTGAAAAAAAAAGATCTATTTAAATTAGTTTAAAAGTTACCTCACACAAAGCAAATTAATACCAAAGGTACTGTTACTGAATTTCTAATATTATAGAAACAAGTCAAAGTTGTTCTCAGCAAGGCTTACCATCCAAAAGACAATTGCTGCTTTGGAAATTGCACTTTGGCAGCAGTATCCAGAGTTATTATCCCCCCAGAGTTATTAAAGTCCTTTTGAGCATGTGCAACTTTGTAAAACTGTGGAAAACCTACAGTCTTAAAGAGTTTTTCAGCCTACAGGTAAACCTACAGGTATTATCATGGTAATCACATTTATAATTACAGAATAAAACTGATACCAGTTCCAAAACAATGAAGCATATAGCCTATACAAGGATATCAAGGCATCACTGAATCCAAGCTCGCCTTTTAAGGACAAGAGAAATCGCAAAAAGTTGTTTCTTTATTGAAATTCAGTATCAACAGGCCCTAAAAAAAAAAAACCTCTTTGTGAAGATACAAAAACCTGCATCCTCATTTAAAAGTATTTTTAGCAACCCATTTGTGTCTATTGTTGCTAAAAAGTGCAAAAACATATCATGATATACATAAAACAAACCCATTTGCTCTGTAAGCTCCATTTTACTTGTTTTCTTTCAGTTTACTTTCACTGTAAATTTTCACTTTGTGTAGAGTATGCAATTTTTCTAACAGGAATTAAGTTTTAAATGAAGGTTTTTAAAAGAGTACCATTTTAAGCTTTAAATAAATCACTAGCTTGATGTTAAAGTTCAGCTTGTTTATGTTAGCCACTATTTCAAATTTCTAACCAGGCAGCAATTTGTTAAATCTGATACAATAATTATATATAAATCCAGGCAGCAGAGTGACGATCACTGAATTACAATTAATTTTACTGAAAATGGGAAATATTGTATCAGATTAAATGAATGCAACATAGTATGTGTCCACAATCAACTGTGAAAAGTATTGTGTTGCATCATGTGTCCTACACAACCTTTTTGAATATATGACCTTTAAGTTGCTGAAGGTTGCCTCAGAATTTGGCTCAGTTCAGGCAAAACATCTGTTCCCTTTGCAGGTATACTGTAAGGACTTTTTTCTCAGTTGGATTTAGAGCACAGCAAGTGAGCCCTTTTCTGACCGATCATATACACCCCAGCATTTGTAAATCAAGCTCTGGGCTGACAACAGCAGGTCCACAATCCGTCACCCTTTCTCAGCTAGCAAGGCCATTTGACTGCTGTGAGAACTGCTCTTATCATGTCATCAAATCAAAGCATGTTGAGAAGAGGGAATGCAAGAGGCATCTGCAGAATTCCCACAATGTAGTGACTTTGGAACACTGACAGATGCATCTGTCATTTTATACCTTCAACTAACCTGCTGTCCGCTGGCCTGACATAGCAAAGCTGTCCAAGAGTAACTCCAGCTCTCTCATGTTGTTTTCATACATCTCTGTTAGAAAGACCTGGTGTTTCTTGGCCTTTATTTGACAGAAGGAACAGACAAGACAAGAGAGGGTGGGGAAAAAACATATTAAAATAAGTAAACAGAAGAAACACACATCACAATTATATACTTTTCCCTTTTAAAATTTAAATTTCTGCTGTATTTTTTTTTACATCTTTTCTTGAGCCAAGAGACCTAACATGATGTAACAAATAAGAACCTTGTAACACACAACATAAAATAAAGGATTTCAAAAGCAAAACAAAAGACGATTGTATAAAAACTTAGTCCTTCATCTTCTTCTGCTTTAGAAGTATCTTAATGGACATTAAATTCTATGCAAGCAGTGAAATCTATTGTTACATCCTACAAGGGCATCCAGAAAGACACCCAACTACTGGCAGACAGGCTAGCAATCCATGATTTGGCATTCAGTCAAATCCCACACCTATTCTCATTGCAAACCTGCCTGCTTCAATTGTTAATATGCTCCATGCTAGATAGGGATTTCTTCAATATCAAAACCTCATCCTCAGGCATGGAACATAAAGCTATAGAGTTCTTAGCCCCTATCACTGAATTTTCTTAAAGAAAGCTATTCACTAAGTGCAGTCTATTCTTCAAATCAAGACACCAAATTTTTCGAGGTCAGAAAAGTTCTACAGCAGATTTTTTAAATCACTACAATAGAAAGACTATACCAAATCATCCCTTCAATTTATATCTCATAACTTGCAGTTTTCAAAGTCATGCATCTATAATCCCAGACAAGACCAAGGTCCTTTTGAGTGTATGGAATTTTGCCTTCTCAAGGAAATGTATGATTTTAACTGCTGACTGACAAAAAAAAAGTAAATATAGCACAGAAACTTAGAAAACTTAAACGCAGGGAAAAAAAAAAAAAAAAAAAGAGTGAACACCAGCCACCCCTACCCCCAAACCCAACTCAAGAGGACACTAGATTTAAGTAACTTGACAATTTTATTATGACAAAGCAAAGATTACAGTCAAAGATGACTCATGGTCAAGTTCCCATGACTTTTAACTGCTCAATTTATTTCTAAATTCTAAATTGTAACACATATTTGTGTAATTTCCATTTTTACTTGGTAATGGAAACTTAACCTTTTTTACTGAGCAAAATTCTACTGTTTTCTATCACATCTAGAGACTGTAGCTTTAGTTATGCTTCACTGCATGTCAAAGAATCTAGGCAATTTCTTATGTGTGGGAAACATCCTCCCCAGGAAAACTGCTACATACTGGTAGCATATAACTGTCAGGATTAAAAAAAAAAAAAAAAAACACCAAGAAATGCATTTAATTCTCTGCAGTGTTCTTCACTATTCAGTTTAAATATTTTATAAATTTGCTTTACTCTTTCAATTTTAATTATATGTACTGTATATCAGCTAATATATTATTCATATGTGTATTTCAGTGTTAGGTCCCCTGAAGCATTTACACTCTTTTCCTTGTGTGAGAGTTTGTACTACACTTCATAAAGAATTTCCAAACCACTTCTATATATTGGAAAATAACCAATGTTTAATTCCTTCTCCATAAAATTATCTATATAAATAGAACTTGTAAATGGTGAGATCCAGTAAAATATTTTATGGAATTAAAGGACAATAAAGTAATTTACTCTAGTGTACTGGCATCATATCAGAGACCTCACAAATTAAAAATAAGGAAATATAATAATATGAAAACATCACAATAAAATAAATATTCTTTTTACATAAAATACTCCAGCACAGAGAAGGTGAGACTAAAACTTCCCAGAAAAACATTTTTCTATGGAAAAGTAAAGTGTGAGAATTTTTTTCAATCTTCTTATCCAATTTTTCCATTTTGTTTAGTTAATTTACTACAGTTTAGTCAGTGTGTTCTAGTCTACTCAGCCTTCACCACTTCTCTATACTTTATTTGCTAACTGCATCTATACGTCCAAAGTCAATTTTAGTCCCTTTTTCAACAGCAATATAGATCAAAATACAGATCAAAAGCAAATTACTTAGACTAGCCAGTCTCTCTACACTTGAACGCAAAGTATTTAGTATCTTTCCTTCCTAACTTCTATTTTCAATTGCTGTCCCCATTATCAGAAATTTAAGAAAAAAAACTGCTGTAAATTACACAGCTAAAAATCCAGGCATAGTCCAAAAGGATCTAATATTGATCTGATTTCTTATGTCTCACTGACAGGTATCTAATAAGAATGTATACAGTCATAAACTCTTGAATTTAAGCTGACAGGACCTGTGGAGGTCATCTGGTCCCACTCCCCAATCACAGCACAGCATGGTTGAAGTCAGGTTAGGCAGCTCTGAACCTGTTCAGTCAAGTCTTGAGTATCCTCAAAGATGACATTTCAACAAACCCTCCAGGCAACCTGTTCCAATATCTCACAATCTGCATTGTGAAGTTTTTTGTTTTCCCCTTACAGGTAATTATAACTTTCCTGTTTTCTCTTCTACTTCTAATGCACAGATCTAAGGAGAGTGTACCTCCATCTTCTCCACAAGCACACACTTGATAGTTTACAGCAGTAGCCATTATCTCCTTAGTTTTCTTCAGTCTGAACAAACACAGGGAGTATGCATAATGCTTTACTTTGAAAAGGAAAATGGAGTATATGAGTATAGCATCAAACACAATCAATTGCAGCTGACAGATTCAGCCGTTCCAGGAGATGTGATTACAATCCTTCTCAACAACTCCATCCATCAACATGTTTTGCCATTCCTGTAGAACTACTGGAAAAGTACAGGTCCAATTGTTTCCTAGGTTATCTCAAAAGGGAAATCAGTTGACAAAAAAACTGCTAAAGCCTTTATATAAGGAGAGTTTGCTTCACAGATCACATTAGTAAACAGGTGGAAGAATATTTGTAAACTCAATTAAAATTTATAAGTCTTCTACTGACTTTGTTGACTTTCTGTACATCAGAATGGACCATTCACCTAGACAGTGATCCTTGAAAACAACCTTGAAAATCCAAGGTGAGGTCTTTATGGATATGCCGGGGACTCCTGACTAAATTCAAGTACTAACAGGAAGCATAAAGAAGCATTTTTCATTGAAAATACTGTAAACTCCAATGAGGAGAAAATCTTTTTTCCAAATACTTTCTATGGTTATCTGTAAGGATAACTTGAACTATTCCAAAAACCGACTGCTTATAAAATTCTTCCATTCACTGTCAGACTTGTATTAATCTTCCAGAAAGGTATTTTTATTTATCTGGACAAGTTCCTACTACCTTGGTTGTAGAAATACTTTCCTTAACTACCAGTATTTGATTTTTTTTCCTGTTCCCATAAAGAAATGATGTCCCATTGTTTTTGCAGCATTTTGCAGAAGCCACGGTTGACTAAAATAAATGTGAACTCTATACACAGTTCCAAGACAGCCCACAGAATCTGATGCTGCAAATGTGCATCTGTATCTCAAGTTCAATAACTTTTAGAAAATAAACATGTGGGCAGGACTTTGAGGCCTTACCTTAACAAAACCACTGCAGTAGTAAGCAGGGAGTTGGGGTCCAGCTGTACAATGAACTGCCTTAATTCCTGAGGAATTTTCTCTACTTTGTCTACAGTCACAAGAGGTTCCTGGGGAGGCTCTCTTGCACATGGACTAATTAACCCACTCAGTCTGTAGTACAAATTCCAACTGGTAATGGCAGAGTAAGAGCCAAATACAGAACTATCCACATAGCCACCAAGGAGCAGCATGTTCAGATACACCTTGAAATGTGCTTATGTAAATTCTTTACAAAAGTTTCAGAATGTTTACTAGGCATGACCTTGGGGGCAGCAAATCAAAGCATTTACAGAAATACAAAAGACTGCTCCACAGTTCACAAAACACAGGCTTTACTCAAGTGATGCTCGGTAAAGCAGAAAAATGGCAAAAATTTTTCAGCCAACAGACATAAATTGTATTATAAAAAACAAAAAAAACCAAACAATCACTGACAAACTCTCTCCTTGAGCTTCTATTTATTTTTGCTCAAGTTATCAAACTATTGAATACTTCTTTTATTTTCTTATATCAGGTGGAATATTCAAAAATCTCTAGAAGTCTGGTCACATGTAAGTTAAATACAATCTCTCAAGAAATTTAGTATCTCTGTCTTACAAATTAACCTAAAATGCTCAAGTTTTATTGAAATCCTTCTTGTGCCTCCCATAAAAAGAGATTTGTAACAACTTTTGCTGGGAGAAAATGTTATGAAGTATCTCCTTGGGTTTTGGGGTTTATTTTTTCTCCAAGTCAGAGAATATTTTTTGAGAACTGCACTTTTCAATTTTAGATACCTATCTTCCAACACCAGGACATCACAGTTTGAGTGACCTTTGCAATTCCCCAATAAATTAAAAAATTGGTTTGTTTGCAGTAGATCATTTAAGCATATGCTTCAGAGTAACTAGTCTTCCTACATTAGGACAATAATAGAAGTAACAGCTGGGAAGAAAAACTCTTCCCCTATGTTAAGGCAAGTTAAAAAAACAATCAATGTAAAACAACACAACAGCTAATGCACAAAATTAATGAAGAGTGTGTATCAGGACTGGGATTTCTTTTTTTTTTTCTGAAAGAAACTGTCCACATTAAATTGCCTAGATGACATTTACATGTTTGCCACTGTGTACCAGTTTCTACTCCACAGAAGTTGTAGAACAGAATTATAATCCTCAGGGTGCTTCATGGTCTCTTAAATAAATACCTAGGCAACTTCTGCTAAAGAACAATGCTTAATGTGTATATCCTGGAACTAGATTCTCAAATATTTCTGTTCTGACATTCAGTGTATCAGAACCTACAAGGTGTTTATGGACAGGTAAGATGCAAACAGAGCATGACTTCAGGCATGGCTGTAAGAGAAAGATTTACATGCCATGGGGGAAAAGACAAGCTGTGTGCAATCTATTACACAACTTATATACAAATTATGCTAGTTCTAATAGAATCTGTTAAAAGGGGTGGAAATAAATACACCTTCGAAATCAAAGGAATTTATAATACAATACAATATTTTAATTATTTCACTTTCCTAATATGCATTCTGATGAACTGTCAAATTTCCCAAATTTGAATTTGCATTTCTCATAAAATAAAGGTTTAACATCTCCTACTTGTCCCATGCCAAAATCATCCACAATTAGGTACTAAAAATGTAAATATCCTGAGTAACTTAAAACTCCTAAAGATACCTCTTATTCTTTCCATGGGACAGGAATACAGCTGGGGCTGTTTCAATTTAAATGAAGTGTTAAATCACAATGGTCATTCTAAATTCCTGTTCTTGAAACTAAAAATTTCTAGAAACCCTAGCTAGATAATGACAAGCTTGAGACCAATTTCCTCAAGTAAATATAATGCAAATATTGAGAGCTTTCTCATGCTGAGCATTCATAAGCAATTTTGTTTGATAGTAACAGATCCTATCACATTTGACCCATGCAAGTTTCTGGCAAACTTCTGCAACGTGCTGGTATTTAAAATTACAACCAGAATAACTACTTTACTGGACATTCAACTGATCCATTAAGGGAAAAAAAGCACTTTTTCATATAAAGTTTCAAAATAATGTACTTTGTGTATCTCACAAATATTTTACAAACAAACACATTAACTTGTATGTTAACAGTACCGTGAGAAACCAATTTAAGATTACCAGACTGAAGTGGAAAAGATGTATTCAGGATGTCTAATAATTGTACAAAATATAAGAAAGTAATTAACAGATCAAGAAAGCAGGACGTGGAAATAAAAGGAAGAGAACGCACTGACAATTTCACACAATTTTAGCATAAGTAAAGGGAAGCCTAATAACAGTATATTGAATGTTATTTATACATTGTTTCCGCTATAGCTGTCTGCTTTTTGGGTTTGGGAAGAAAATCAACAAAAAAGCTGTCTATACTAATAAACAAGACCACACACAGGCACTCCTGCCTCCCAATCAAATATGAAAGTCTTCAGGAAAAATACAAAGCCATCCAAGATGATAAAAATCGAATCCCACAGGGGACCACTAATACAACTCTTCAGAAAATGAGTATTTTTATTACCTGTTCAAGACAGTCTTGTGGCTTGAAATCATTTCAGTAAAGCAATTAAAACAATCTGCTATGTGAATAAGACAGTTCTTTCAAGTGGGGCAATCTATTTGCTTTTACTTTCAGTTACACAATGTTCATTTTGAGTACACCATTTAATACTGTTGTCATTAACAAAAAAAACTGAAGCATGAACAGAATTTTGTCCTGAATTCTTGTCAGGTATAACAAACATTTTACTATGGAATTTTTCTTTTGGATTCTTTTTGTGCCTGATAAAATTGTTTTTTCAGGTTGACTAAGGCAGCAAATGTCTTTTAATACTTTAATGCTTGCATTGAAGAATCTGTGTCCTCCCAAAGGAAAAACAGCTTTTTAGTTTTCTTTTTCTTCAATTTATTAATTACCAATCTACCTGGTAAGTGGATAACCCTAAGACAATGTATGGAATAACTCCACCAGCTGAAGAGTGGACACCAACAAATCTGAAGACACTCGGATGCAGATCGCTGCTCCTATACACTGAATAGCACAACGCCTACTAGTAGCAGGGAAGAGATCATGGTAATCTCCTCCATCATAGGTCCAAGAGGAAGCAGGAACAGAAATTTACAATAGAAAAAATAAACTGGCTAAGTATAGAAATACTGTAAATGCTACTATACAATGAAGAGAGAGAAGGTTTTCAGATCACAGAAACATAGAATAGCTTGGTTTGGAAGGAACCTTAAAGTTCATCTGGTCCTAATGCTAGACCAGGTTGCTCAAAGCCCCATACAACCCAGCCTTTAACTCTTCCAAGAATAGGGCATTCACAACTTCTCTGAGTTTCTTTGTTATGTTTCGTAACTTTTCTGTTATGTTTAAGTGCCTCACAACTCTCACAATAAAAAAAATTTTCCCAATATCTGATGAAAACCTTTCAGTTTGGAGCCATTCTCCTTGTTCTCTTACTACACTGCCCTTCTGGAAAGTCTCTATTCAGGTAGTGGAAGGTCACAATTGGGCTAGCCCAAAACCTTCTCTTATCCTGGCTGTCTCATAGCAGAGAGGCTCCATCCTGTGATAACTTGGTGGCCTCCTCTGGACTGTCTCCATCAGGTCCATCTTCGTCCTGTGCTGAGGACCCCAGAGCCGCATGCAGCCCTGCAGGTGGGGGTCTCACCAGAGCCGAGCAGAGCAGAGCAGAGGGGCAGAATCCCTCCCCTGCCCTGCTGACTGCGCTGCTTTGGATGCAGCCCAGGACGTATTTGGCTTGCTTTCTTTCAGCAGGATCACATCCAGCCTCTCACCCACCTGCAACTCCAAGCCCTTCTGGGCAGGGCTGCTCTGATCTGTTCATCCCCTAGCCTGTGTTGACTCAGGGGTTGCACTGACCCAGACGCAGCACCTTCCACTTGGTCTTGGTAAATAACATGAGATTTTCATGGGCCCACTTCTCTAGCATGTCCAGGTCTTTCTGGATGGCATTCTGTCCTTCAGGTACGTCAACCAAACCACTCAGCTCGGCGTCATCAGCAAATGCGCTGAGGGTACACTCCCTTCATCTATGTCATTAATGAAGATATCCTAAGCTTTTTGTTTTGACCCTCCGCTATTAAAAAGGATGGCAAAATTGATATTCAAAGTTGGGGTGCATAGAGACAGTGGGAAGGCACCAACTGGTCATATAAAAGAAAAAATATTTCAGAAAATAATCCTGTAAAATACATCCAACACGACAAATGCACACTAAACAAAAAAAAACCCCAACCAACTAAAAAGTTTGTCAGCTTCAAAGAAGACATTTTCAAACAGTTTTTGCAGTCAAATGCTTGCATTAAAAACATTATGTGAAATAGAAATAAGCAAGTCTACAATGGTAACTAATCAAACCTGAAGGAAAAAAGTTTGGATAGGAAGACAGAACATTCTTCACAAAAAATCATAATCCGCATCTACAAATTGTCTTCTTCATTAGGAATGCAAAGGCTGGTTACTCTTGACTTATAGCCGTACTTTTGAAATACCTGTTTTCTGCAAATACATTAAATACTTGGTGTATCACTTAAAATGCATTTTGGAATTAGTTTCTCCAGTATCTTATCTATATTTACTCTTGTTTCACAAAACAAAGTACTATAAATAAAAAATCAGAGTAATGCAAAGTCAGATTTATTCCACAGCTCAGAACAGCAAATGAAGATTATGTTCAGAGCAGGTTTAAAAAACTAAAGAACAAGTGCTACAGGCTTTTTGTCTTACCATTGCAAGTTCACTCTGTAATTCACTGCAACTTTTTTCAGCATTCCCTAGTCTTTCAGAGAGGTCCATAATTACCTTCTTCTTTTCCTCAATCACTTCTTTCATTTGATTGTTTGAGGAGAAACACTCTTTTTCTAATCTGGAAAGTTTCAACATTAGAATATTTTAATCGAAAGTACTTATGTCAAGTATTCTACATATTTTTAAAAGACAATCTGAGTATCACATCATGCTAGCACATTGTATGACTTATGAAGCTCCTTGCCTTATTTTTTTTAAGTGAAGAAACTTATATATTCCTTCTAAGAAAAACTTTTCAGATGCGGTTCTTTTCCATTACCAAGGCTTGTGTTAGACTTCCAGTCATAAATTGATTTGATCATTTCAATATGGACTGCAGATTACATGTAATAAACAGAAGTAATAATATTTTAATTAACACATCAGTTCTCTTCTCTTGCATCATCAGCACTGATTTCAAGTACAAAGCTTGCTCCTCGTGTTTCCACGTACCTGACTATATTCTTACCCTGGTTCTGGCCAGATCAGGGTTAATTTTAGCAGTAGTCAAGAGTGAGCAAGGCTAGGACCTGGAGGTCATTCTATACCACCTCATGTCATTTTCTGAGGGCAGGGGAAGGCTCCCTTGTGGGTAGAGTGACAGAGGGACTGGGTATGGCTGGGGGTTTCCACAGCGTGCAATCACAGGTAGATCAATCAATTTTTTTCCTTGTACACTCTGTCATTAGTATTGTTGCTGTTACAGTTCATTGTCTTATTTCATTGCTATGTCCAGCAAAGTGTCCTTATCTCAGCCCGTGTTCTTTACTTTTTGTGAGTCCAATTCTCCTCTCCAGCCTGTCACAGAAGGAGGAAGAAGAGGGGGGAACGATCGAGCAGCACATGGTTTGGAGTGTTGCTGTAAAAAACACTAAATTGGGGAATACCATTCTTAAACCATGACAATTCTACTCAGAATTGCACGATTTCAATAGCAGACAATTCAAAATTTCAACCAGTTCTTGAACTACATCAGTCCTCCTGGTATTCAAGAAAACAAATATGTAGAAAGTCTGGCATGGATAAAAAGATGTGCCATGAGAAAACTACAAGGCCAAACAACAGCAAATAGGAGACAGAGCCAGGGACAGGAAGCCAAGGAAAAATTTTGAAGGATTGCGTAAGTATATAGGGATGGAAAGGAGGTGCCTCAGGAAAGGCACCTACAATTAACATTCACAAAAGATGAGAAGGGATTTTACCACTGTTATGGTAGGAAAGAAAATGTGAACAGACTTCTACACAAAGCAGCTATTTTACCAGAGAGAGAAAGTCAGCATACCTCCTACCTTTTTGTCCTCCATCTTTCCTGACAAGGTCTACTCCCAAGCCTCTATTGTCAGTAAAAGGATACTAAAAGGAGAACAATTGCTAGCAATAGGTGAGGATTGTGTCTGAGATAACATGTGAGAACTCAACCCATAGAACTGAAGAGGTCAGCTCACCTACATTCAAAGGTTCTGATAAAGCTGGCTAATCTCAAAGTGACATTGCTCATTATCATCATGAAAGGTCACAAAAATTGGGGGACGTCCCTGGCAAAGGAAGAAAAGCAAATGTCATGCTTGTATTTGGCAAAAGTAAAAAGGAGAAGCCAAGGAACTGTAAACCACTGAGCTTCATTTTAGCCCTGGAAGGTTACAAAGCAATTCCTTCTAGAACAATTTTCTGGGCTCATGAAAGAGACAAAGGTGATTGGGAACACTGAGGGAGCTTAATCATACCTGACCAACCCTGTTATACTCCATGATAAAATGATCAGTGCTGTGGACAAAAGGAGGGCAAGCACATAAAATATTTATCACCTATAATATTATTTTAGCAAGGATTTTAGCACTTTTTCACACAGTATTTTTATAGCTGTTACTTAAGTCTACATATATGAATTGTAACATTGATAAAAGTAGTTTGACAGTAAAGCCCAGATGGTAGTAGCTGGAATGGCTGTAATACTGTAAAGGTCTGTCTAAGATCTGTTTAACAGCTTCAACCATCACCTGGAGTAAGCCAAGAGTGCAGTCTCACAATACCTGCAGTGAACAGTGAACTGGGTGTGGGCAGATCATGACATCATGACACAATACAATTGATATACTCAACAGAAGAGCTGCCATTCTCTAGTCATGGAGAAAGAACAAGACAGAATGAACCTTCTGACATTCAACGATGACATGTGCAAAGACCAGGATTTAGGAAAGAAGACCACCCTAAAGTGATGTAGCTCGTAACTGGCTGGATAGAAGCTATGCTAACAAGAACATGGTAACCATGACACACAGCCACAAATCAGCAGCACAGCAAATGAGCAGAGATAGCTAACAGCATCCTGGGCTGTATTAATAGCAGCACAGATCAAGGGAAATGATTAATCATCTTGTATTTGGCAGTCATTACAACACATCTAGGATAATAATCACTTTTTACTATATGCACCCCTCACAACATAGGAAAAAAGTTGGGGTGGGCTAAGGGATTGGTCACCACGATGGTTAGCAGCAGAAATACGCATAAGAACTGAGGAAATGTATGTTCAAGCTGGAGAAGAGATAACTCCAGAGTGTACAACAGGCCTCCCAGTATCTAAAAGAAGGTTATCAAGGAAACACATGATGATGATCACATCACAGCAGCGTTTGTCTACAAGACAAGTACTGAATCCAAAGAGGTTCAGACAAGAAGAAATGTTTTGCAACTGTATGAAACAGATTCTCAAAGAGATTGTGCCATCTCCATTCTCCAAGTTTTCAGGACCTAACTGGATTAAGAGCCTGATCTCATAGCTTATATTAGCTTGAGCAGCAGGTTGGACTACAGATCTCCTGCAATTCTTTTCAACCTGAACTATCCTTTGATGTAGCTCTCAGCACTAGAAACATCCAGTAGAAACATCATCTCTTTTTCTCCTAGCACTCCTGTCTCCCTAGAAGTGAAAGCAGTGCACAGGGCTCAAAGTTCTTGCATTTTTGAAGCTTTTGAATCAATATTGTCACTTTCTGACTTTAATTTATTTGTTAAAAGATTAATGTATCTTTTTAGTTGAAGGACTACTTCAGCAGTCCACCAAATACCTATGTGTTTCTGCATCAGCCTGGCTGATTTTTTGCTGTAGCTGCAGATGTTTACCTCTTATTCTTCAAGACCTACCTGTATCAGTCCCCCAAAGCAGCTTCTACTCTCACAGCTTTTGGAAATACAGCAAAAGAAGTTCCAAATTATTCTATGTCATGTTCTCACTCTTCAAGAAAAGTAAATTCACACAGAGACCCAAATCCCATGTTGCTTCCAATTTACATAGTGCTACTGGGTTCAGAGCTAATTAATAAATTATGCAACCCAGAAAAGCCTGTTAGCTTGGTTTTGGTTATTACAACTATATTTTTTCTAAGAAAATAAAAAATAACGCCACCCAGAAAAGCCCACTTGCTTGGTTTCAGTTATTATAACTAAATTTTTTTTCTGAGAAAACGAATTCTTACAGTGTTATACAGCTTCCAGCTTTTGCGTTATTTACCTACATCAAGTCCAGCTAAAGAGACATACAAGTGTTCTAGCACAACAAATGAAAGTCTCTAAGACTTTCATTTGGCCAAGGCTTAAGGACAAACTCACGCAAGTCCTCCAGAAAAAGACAAAATATGTTTGGATGCCAAAGTATGTCTTAAAAAAAAAGCCAAGCTCCTGACATTGTCTGAAGTCCAAAGACCAGACCCTTCAAAGGCAAGTAGATCAAAGGCTGTTGTATTCTCTCAGAAGGTGTCCAGTGAAAGCAATCACTGATTTTCGCCAATGTTACTGACACTTGTATGCTTCAAAAAATAAAAAGGGGACAGGAAACAGATGAGGCAGTACCTGCCCACCCATATAATTACCTCAAGGGAACTGAGTAGATTGATGTCCACCCCAGAAAAAGCTTGACCTGAGCTACTTATCTTAATAGAGGTCTGGAAATTTTGGTGCCTGGACTAAGAAAATTGTGAGGACAGGCTGTTTGTGTTTCTTCAACATTGCTTAACAAAACCACCAACTATTTTACCTATGTTTTAACTGTCTTAATTTTCATGGAAAGGTTTGCATTCTCTGAAATAACAGAACACAATTTGCTTTCAAATGCCTGAATGAACACATGATTACAAACAGTGAAAAGTACTGTTTGGATATTAGACAAAATTTATTCTCATATTCAATTAACACACAGAACAGATGCCTCAGGCATAAATTCAGTTTGATCCCAAAAAAACCCCTAGGATAGGGCAAACTTCCTTCCTGAAAAAGAAACGCTGAACATAATTGTCCAATTCAGAGCAAAAAGGGAAGGATTTTTAAGGTTCACCTTGCATTTTAGTAACTCAAGTATTTACTTCTCTGTAAGCGCTACTATTGAAATTATTAAGGCAAATCGTACTATATCTGTAAAAACTGTATTTCATAGTCTTAAGTACAAAAAATATACTTATTCAGGTATTTCCTGCAGTAATTCCAAACAAAGAAATATAGTCTCTTAAAAAACTCTTATTTTTCTTTTTTGATGATAACATTTTTCAAAGATGTAACTTTTGTGGATCAAAAATATCCTAGACAGAAACTCCTTCAATGCTCAAAGAAATATCTTCATATATCTATATAAAAGATTCTTACAAGGAACAAAACATTACTGAATGCACAATACAATTCAATGTCTAACCATTATTGTCATGTTGGTCTAAATAATCTAATTCAGAAAAATATCTTTAAGATACTCTCAGAGACTTAACTGGAAAGCTATACTTACAGAAGTTCATGTTTTTAATCAAATTTACTAATCTAAAAATTTAAAAACAGATCTTGTGGTAAAGCTTGTAAAATTCTAATGATTTCGAAAATACCTAAACAGATGTTTTAGTTACATTAAAAATGCTCCTAATTAGCTAATATTTTATTAACATCTATTGGTTCCGAGTACAATCCATACTAACAGCTCCCTGACTGATTTCAGGAAGCCATATTATGGCAGTCATGTTGACAAGACAGGATAGTTTTTTCTAGATTGAAAACTACAATGGCTTAACAAGCATTATTCAAAAAACCCAACTAAAAAACCCCACATTTCACTAAGATGATTAATTCTTCAGGTCTAACGTCAATATAAAGACAAACTTTGGAATATTAGATCTTGGAACAAGTGAAGAAATGGTTCAAGAACAAACACTGGAAGTGTTTGAACACTACTTCAAGAAAACTTTCATAACATTAATTTTTCTATATCTTCTAGACCACTTCTGGGAACCTACCAGAGCAAAAATAAAAAACCCACTACACCAAATTAAAAAACCAAGAAAACCAAACCAAGACTGAAAAAAAAAGAACTATATGCTCTGTAAGAATAAAAAGTTATATACAAGAAAAGCTCAGACAGTACAAAGTAGCCTGTGTAATGCGACACTATTGATCAAACAACCATTTCTCAAAAAAAAGGCTGGTTTGCAAACAAAGGAGCTTTTTTAAAACAAAACAATATAAATGGAATAAAATGTCAAATCAATGGTCCAGGCCTTCTCCATTTGACGGAAAGACAAAGTACTTAGTATCAGTTTAGTGTCATGTATTTACTGACAGAGAACCCATGCTCACAGCAAAAACAGCCAGGTAGGATGAGATTACAGTTTAATTAACCGATGTTATTTTAGAACTGTGGAGCATCTTGAAATATACTTACTCAATTTCACTGCTGTGAAGACTGCAGTCTTCCTGAATAATAATTTTAGATCACTATCATAATATTTTTCACAAATTTTTATCAGAAAAGTTATATCTTTTTCTTTGAGAAAAAGTTTCTACTTTTTAATGTGACTCTGATTTACCTAAATGCACATCAGGCCTCTTTAGACCTTTGTTTAATGAAGAGCTCTAAGATGTGTATAATACAGCCCAAGTTTCAACTCTATTACTAAAAACATCTCTGTAAGCATGAATATAGGAACGCTTGGGCCAGAAAATTCCTTTTTTTGTAGGGAAACCAGTTTCTTTTTTTCCCTCTATTGCTTGTATGAGCAAGTCACCACAAATACTTTTATGTACAAACCCTCATAATCCTAGACCAAGAGATGCAAACTGTCTTTTTCAACCCATTCTACTACCTCTCTCTGCCCACAACCCCGTGTGCCACCCACTTCATGTCTTCTAAAGCCCCTGTTTCCTTAAATTTCACAAACTACTATCCTTTATTTCATGTACTCCTCAGTTTTTGGTCTTCCAGCATCATTCTTCTTCCTCATATTTTCTCACCCCAATAAAAATTTCATTCAGCTACAGAAGAAGAATCAATACAGTGTATCCTGTATCTGCCCAGGAAACAGAGCAAAGCCTTTCTTCCAAAAAACACCTGTTACCACAGACACAGTAGACTGTGCTGAGCAGGAAAGGAATCCCAGGTAATTTCATCTGCTCTCATATACTTTATCCCTTCTTCTGTTTTCATTAGCTAGTCAACACTTTCCACAATCATTCAAAAGCTGAAAATGAAGATTAATCAATGACACACAACTTCTCAACAGGAGTTTTAAAGATTGATCTAGCTCACTGAAGTGAAAAAAAAAAATTCATAATAATGTAAGTATATACAGAAGAAAAAAATCTGTTCTAACCCTGCCATGTGTGTTTTCCTACCAAATACACAGGAGACAGGACCCTGCTATAACTATCATTTCCAACATTTTTGTTTTAGCAAATAATCAGTAACAGATCAGTTACTTTCTTTACCCACCCATGTGGTTACTGATATGGATCTGTTATTAATGTTATTAACGGAACACCAAGTTCTAAACTTCAGGTTGGTTTGGGAAATTGCATCAGATTTAGTTGTTTTATACTGACTGAAAAATATATAAATATAAGCTGTAAGAGGTAATTCAGCTGTCTACTGCCATTTTACAATGAATTTAGAGGGAAACTTACACACTGAGTTTTTCCAAGTTCTCCTGGGCATTTTGTTTTTCTCTCTCATATGCATATTCTAAGCCTTTGAATTCTTTCTTGATAATTTCTAAATCTGAAAGAGCTTCTTCTCGTCTGTCCTTCTCCACACGCACAGCTTCTTCAAGTTCTTGAATTCTTAACTACACCAAGTGATAAGAAAGCAATTAAAGCAAGTTAGGAAACACTTACATGATCTTCTATGGTCTGTTCTGCTTTACAGTAGAGTATACTCTATTATTTCAGTATAAAAGCATATACACATGTAAAAAAAATTGAACACGTGTAAAAATGTAAGAATACATAAAGTTCAAACCAGAGACAAATAGATATGACGACGAAAAGTGCCTTCTGTTCTCATTTGGAGGTGTCTGAACATTTTCAGTTCTTATTAATACTGAAGCTTTCTGGGGAAATTCTAGTTTTTAAATAGAGTCATGAAGGATCAACAATAAAGGCTATACTTTTTCTAAGAACAAAGCACACTTCTAGCTTGTTCAAGTACATAAACAAGGAAAAAGACATTATCAGTTATTCATCATAAAACCCAAGCCTCTAAGTTTAAGGAGCGTTATCCTCTCAGCTCCTTTTTATGTTGCAGAAATAGAGAAGAAATTAAGCAAACTAAATCTTTTCTAGTTAAATTATCACTTTTAAAATTTAAGTGCCCGCACGTACAGAAGATCATGAAAATAAGAAAATAGCAGACTGAAGAATGGCAATTTTTGTCACTCAGAAAATAGGGAAAAAAAGATACCAAATTCCCTTCTTTCTTGCTTAGTTTTTGGGAAGTCCAATAAGTTTGTTAACTAATATGATATTACTAAGAAATCACAATTTAGATTTTTTCAAATTTTTTTTAATAAAACATAATCATTTTACTGAGTCCAACTCTGTGTGATACAGATACAAAAAATTAATGTTCAAGTATATATACTAGATTTATTCATATAAACAATCTTTACTGGCAACTGAGAGTATCATAATTTTGGAGTTGAAATGTACTCTGAGAAATTGTGTTTGAAACTGCAGTTTCAGGATGCATTATGCTCTCACTCCTAGACAAGTTGGATGTAGGCACTGTGTCTCCAAACTTGCTCTAAGTAGACATTCAGAAGACACGGGGCAGGATATTTAAATGGTGGTATAGTGCTTAACTATTGTGAAACATTTTCTTTTCCCTAACTGTTTAAATAGTAGTGGGAATTCTCAAACTTACAAATATGACATATTATTATTTATTCTAAAAACTTTAAAGTTCCCTGAAAAGCAGATACTCGTCTATTCTGTCCTTATATATATATTTTATGATTTTGACACTTATTGTAATAAATCTATTTAGGTTTTTCACTGGAGCAAGTAGTCTCCATATTTGTGGAGCACCGTACCTTCACAACCTCCTCAACTGTTTTGCTGTAAACTTCTATGAAATATTTAACAAAAAGTTTACCTGGATGATCTCTGAAGTAACATTGGATGCTAAATGTGCTGCTCTTTCTGCTTCAATGTTTTCTTCCAGTTTCTTTGTTCTCATTGCAGCTGCCTACAAGTACATTTTGAGGATATTTAAGTTCAGAGAGAAGATAATATGACACCAGGTGTGTTCAACTCATTAAACATATTGTGCCTCCATACACTAACCTGATATAGCTGAACTACTTTGGAACTGTGACAACTCATACCAAGAAACACATATAACAACATTTTTTACATATATGGATTCTTAAATTAATATTTTCTATTTTGTTAAGTAAATTGATGTAGTATTATGTTATTGCTGCATTTTTTATAATCAGCTAGGGTCAGAAAGCAAATAAACCAAGTTAAATGTTCCTCCTCTTGCCCCACTATTTGCCCACTTGAGGCAACATAACTATACTCTGTATGTTCTGAAATACATTGAGGTATCAAGAGAACAACTACAATTTCATAAAAGAGACATGATGCACAGAGAAGATTCTTCAAAAATTTATCTGCTTAACATATGTAATTTTAAAAAAATCACAAACACTGCTACGATATTTTCATACTGCTAAGATTATCCTCATAATTAAGAATGTCTTCAAAAAGGGTAAGAAGAACACAGGGAACTACTGGCCAGGCAGGCCTCACCTCAATCCCTGGGAAAGTGATTGAATGCCTCCTTCTGGATACCATCCCTATCAACATGGAGAACAAGTGATCAGAGAAGTCAGCATGGATTCAGCAAAGGGAAATCATGCTTAGACAATGTGATTGCCTTCTGTGATGGGACAACTACCTGGATGGATGAGGTAAAAGCAATGGGTACTGTTTACCTGGACTTCAGCAAGGCTTTCAACACTGTCTCCAACAACATCCTGTGGACAAACTAGGAAGTGTGGCCTGGATGAAGGGACAGAGAGGTGAACTGAGAACTGTCTGAATGGCAGATCCCAGAGGATTGTTATGAGTGGCACAGGGTCTGGTTGGAGGCCTGCCACAAGTGGCGACACCCAGATTCAAGAGTGGGCCTGGTATTGTTTAACTTCTCCATCAGTGCCTTGGATGAAGGGGCAGGTGCCTCCTCAGAGAGTTCCCTGATGACACAGAGCCAGGAGCAGCGGCCGATACCCCAGAGGGCTGTGCTGCCCTTCCGAGGGTGGAGAGACGGGCAGAGAAGAACTCTCTGAAATTCAACCTGCGCAATGTCCAAGCACTGGAACAGATTGAACAGAGATATTGTGGAGTCTCCCTCACTGAAGACATTCAAGAACCATCTGGACACAAACCTGTGCCATGTGCTCTACGATGACCCTGCTTGAGCATGGAGGTTGGACCAGATGACCCGCCGTGGTCCCTTTCCACCTTATCCATTCTGTAACTGTGACAAATAGCTTGATTCAGACCCTTTATATGCTCTAGGTATTATTCCTTCCAAACATCAGCTCCTAATCCCCTTTGCCCTTCATACAGAATTAGCAAACTACGTCCTGCTTCAGCCTATTAAAAGTCAATAATAAATACAAGTGATGTGGATTTCACTTCTTTTTTAAAACATTTTAGAAGTCTGTCTAAAAATAATTCTACTTTAAATTTGACAGAAGACAAAGGAAACAGTGAGGAAGGTATCTATTACAACATTCAGAGTGGAAGATATAACTGTAAAAAAAAAATTAAATTAAGAAATGAAAACTTCATAGACGATATTTCGCTGCATACCCTGAAGAGCAAAAACACTGTCTTTGTCTGGTGTCTATTCTCACAGCAAACGCTGAAATAAAAACAGCGATTCTGAGAGTAAAATTTTCAGGTACAACATACTAATTCACAAGCTCTATACTGAATTTGACTTCTTAGTCTTATTTTATTTCCTGAGCACCTAACTATGTTTTCATCACAGCCTCACTCCAGCTGAAACCAGATATGCAAAACACCATCAAAATGGTTAAGTTATCCTCTCAAACGGAAGCCCCTAAAACTGTTAGGTTTTTTCAGTCTCAAGATGAAAAATGAGACTGAAAAAATAAATAATAGCTTGAATGATGTCATCTGCAAGAATTAAAAACTGAAGCAACAGATTCTCCCAAACAGAATATGCAGGTATAGTTCTTCAAAGAAAATTCTGTCTTCTTGAGCTAACACGATGGACACTAAATGCAAGGACAAGCCACGTGGTCCAAAGGAAACACAAACTCCCAGAAGTATAGAAGCTGCAGTCCTAAGATAATGCTGGGACAGTAAGTGAAGAAGGGAGGAGCAGGCAGACATCTGTAAGAAGTGCCAATATATCACTCTTTTGATGTCTGAAGTAGGAGCAACTCCATTTAAACAGTAACATTTGTAGATGTTGCATTGCCACAAGTCACTGAAGAGTTAACTTGTAGAATTAGCATGGCTATTGAAAAAAAAAGCACTGGCAAAAATTGGCATTTCAGCCACAGACATCTCTGATGAGCTCTATAATAAGAGAAACAGCTCCTTTTCACAAACAGGACAGTGTGTCTAGCCTACTGGAAAGAATTATGGTCTTCATAACCAAAGTAGAGCCAGATGTACCTGACAGGTATACAAAGTAAAGCATTCAAATAGATTCAAGACAGTATACAAAGAAAAACTGCATTAGAAACTAGAAATCAAACTTTGACACATATCATCTTACACTTCATATCCCTATATAAAGGCATGAAAAGAAGTGACTTTTTCAAAACTGGTGTTTCTTCCTGAAGTCAAACACAGCAATGCCCTATTCTTGCATTTGAAGTTCCTCTCTTCTAGAGTTTGATTCTTTAAAGTTTTGCCTCAGAAATTACAATTTTGATTTTTTACAATCTTGCTTATATTAGCTCATAGTAACTCCAAAAAACCAAGAGCCAGGTAATGAAACAAATCTTTTTATTTAAGATACAACACTGTCAGAGATCTCACAGAACTACCACTAATTTTTTGTATTATTAGAAGCCAAAGATGAAGACTAAACTGTGTTCCTTCCAAAAGTCTCAGAAGGTTACTCAGGCAAACCTTAATCTTATTTTACCAGTCTATACACTATACCCAGAAGACTGGATGCTTAAAAGAGCCTGTAGAAAAACTACAGATGTGAATTGAGGAAGTCATGTAGATGCTGACTGTGGAGCACTGAATAATCTTTTTCCTCTCCTCTACGACTACCTTGCTAAAGCTTATAGTTCACCATAGCTCTAGCAAATTTAAACCAAGTCAGAAGCTGGCAAATAATTGAGAAATTAGTCAGAAAAAAACCCCAAACTTCATGAAAGACACCAAACCAGCCAGTATTTCAGTCTATCAAACTGCAGACCAGCCCACAGAACTTGCACCTGTATTCAAAGCTGAGTCTGAAGACTTGGGAAGAACAACAGTTACAACAAAATGCCATATAGAAAATTTTTTGCTGATAAAGACTCAAACAGGCTCTGCTGATACCTATATGCACTTCCCTTCACAGTGAGAAGCTGCATACTACACCAGTGAGAACAATCTATTACACATTCTGTGAGCAGAAGAAAAAAGTCAGGGGTGAGTCCAACCTGTAAAACCATGGAAAAGTTCCAAAAACAGAAATAGGAAGGAGTTTTGTTTTATTGTCTGACAAACAGAAAGTCACTGGCATCAGAAACCCATTAGACAGCCAAACCTCTTTGAATCAAATTAAAGGTGAGAATTAGTATCCTTACTAAATCACGTATGTGAAAATTTTACACAATGCCTTACAAAAAAGAAGCTGTGTGAAAACCATCTAGAGTAAGTCTGCAGGCCGCAGATATCCAGATCATAGGCTTGTATCTGGGAGAGTCACATGGGAATACATACTGGTTTAACATGGAAAGCTTCTTGTCAGGTCCAAGTCCAACCCAATGCTGGACCAAAAAGTGAGTTCTCCACTGATTACAAAGTGTTTATTCATCCAACAAAGAAAATATTGGTTATTCAAAAAGATTCAGTCACTTGTTACTTTCATGTGCACCTAACAAGATATACGAAGGCAGACCAGACATCTTAAGATACCAGGCACAAACTCATGGAATTTCTGAAGTTTCCTTAGACATTCAAGCTGATTTATTTCAGCCTTTATTTAAAGAATATGAGAAATATTCGCTTTGAAATAAGAAATAAACACTTTTCATAAATTTAGAAAGGTTTACTAAACCTTATCAAAAATACAACAGAAGACTGAATAGAGAAAATATTACGGAGCTGGAAGCAAAGGATTTTTTCCACCATGTGCATGCCCACACAATGGAGGTTTCCCCTTTTAACCCTTTAGCCCCTCCCAAAATTCTGTCCATCAACTCCTTCACTGTCCAGTGGTGGAGTTTACTTCCTCAAATCCTGACTGGAGGTCAGCTATTGCCATAGTGACAAGGAGACCCTCACAAATGTCCCAACCCCAGCTGTCCCTTGATAACAATGCAAGGGGGTAAAACACACCTATAAATCTATAAAACTTTTCTTAACCTATATACATGATACTTGTCTGTTAATTGTGAGAGTCAATCATCACAGTACTCATCTATCACAAAGAACAAAGATAGCTGGGATCAGTTTCCATGATAGCACAGACAGAATTTTGACTTTTGAGAAACAGTAAGTAAAAGTGACTAAGAAAAATTCAATGCCAGCATTCAAACTTGTGGGCGAGCATGCTTTATGTTTTATCTCTTATGGTTCAGTACCTTTTTTCAGTGTCACGTTGCATATCAATGCTAATGTGGAGACATTTTCTTTAAGGTTCCAGTTTGTAACACCATTTTCCAAACTGTCTCGTGTGTCTTCCACTTTTTTGCCCCTCAAACTTCCTTGAAGTGCTGCAATATTTGTGAGTACTGCTGTATTCCAAACTGAAAGCCTTAATTTAGTACCCTATGTGACGCATTGTTCAACACTATATTTACTGTTAAACATTCACCTTTATAAAAAATACCCCTCACCAGATAAGCAAACAGTAGTGGGGGGAAAAGTCAAAGATACATTTGCAACACTTACTAAGCTTTGATACAGTAATGGAAGTAATTTTTCTCTTTTCTACTTCTATTTAAACCCTTCTGCAAGATGTTTCATTTATCA